ACTCACATACATGCAGGCAATACACTCATACACATAAAATAAAAATAATAAAATATAAATTTTTTTTTAAAGTTTATTCAAATGAGCCTGTCAATCACTTGAAAAGAAACCCCCATTAAAGTAAGTCCATGCTAGGAATGTAGTGGTTATAAAGCCAACGTAATTGCTGGGGGATGTAGCTCAGTGGTAGAGCACCTGATCAGCATGTTTGAGGTCCTAGCATCAATTAAAGGAACATTTTAAAGAGTACTTTTAACATTAACAGAGAGGTTTTGTACATGAAAAAAATTTAGCAATTAGAAGTCTATGTAAGAGGCACTGAAGAGATGGCTCAATAGTTAAGAGCACTGGCTAGTTTTACAGAGGATCCAGGTTCAAGTCCCAGCACCTACACTAGAGCTAACAACCATCCCTAACTCCAGTTCCAAAGAATCCATCATCTTCTTCTGGCCTCCACAGGCACTGCACATATGTAGCGCACTTACATAAATGCAGGCATTAAACACTCATACATATGAAATAAATGATAAGTAAATAACTGAAAAAAAACCAAGTCTATGTAAGAAACTATAGCCTTGTATCAGACAGAAAAAATGAAGAATTTTCAAATGTCAGGGTTTATTTAAGTATGCCCATGCATAAAAGTTAATGAGTAACTGACATCCTGTCTGAAAAACCAAAGGGAAGAATAAAAACAATGTTTACAATAGACATGATTCAGTAAAAGTGAGAAAGGCAAAAGCAAAACTCTGCTTAAAAAATAATTGTATAGGTCTCTTTCAGATTTTTGTTGTTTGCTTATTTAAGTGGAGTGGTTTTCTATTCATTTTCATGAATTTTAGCATATATCAGTATACAACACAGAAGATAAAGTCATAACTTCAGAGGGTAAAATTATAAACTGTTTCAGAAAAACACTTTTAAGCATTCCAGTTTTCCAATGTGTGTATCCTATGTTAGCTCTCACTTAAACATGGTAGTAAGTTTGCTTTAGTTATACATTTTGGCTACAGAAAAAAAAATGGTAGCAAAACTCAGGCTTGAGATTTTATATCCAATTAGGATACAAAATTCTAAGATGAACTACGATCTTAGTCGCATAAGCTTCCTAAACATGTATTTGCTGTTCATATAAAGAATTCAAAAAAGAAGAACTGTACAGGATGTAAAAAAAGAAAAAAGACCATCAAACAAAGTAAAACTCCTAAATACCATACTCAAGCATGAAGGACACATGGTCATAGTTGAAGAGTTGTCTCTGCTGCATTTCTCCCACATACCTTGTCCATCAATTTACTTGCATGAAGACTCAAGCTGTTGAAGAATATTTTTTTGCTCAGCAAGTGCATTTCTTCAATGGTTGTCAATAGAGTAGTTGCACTATTTCCAACGATGCCACTAAAGCAAAGAATATTTCAGGTTGCAAAACAGAAGCTAACACAATTTTGTTCACTAAGTACAATACTTCAAAAAAAGATCTAGATTTAAAGGCTGGAGAAATGGCTCAGGGTAGGAATGCCCGCTTTGTAAGCTTGAGGACCTGACTTTAAATTTGTAGTACACATATAAAAGCAGTGTACAAATGCATGTGCCTGTAACACCTGTGCTGAAGGTAAGGCAGGCAGATCCCAGGAGCTTACTGTCCCAGGAGCTTACTGACCAGCCAGCCTAGCTGAAAAGGTGAGCTTTGAGTTCGGTAAAGTGGTTAGGTTCTCAAGTGAATAAGGTGGGCAGTCATAGAAGACACCTGACATTCTCCTCTGACCTCCACATGCTCAAGTGGGCGTGCAACCCCTGCCCCCCCCCCACACAGATACAGATTTACACTGAGCATGGAGACATATACCCGCAATCCTAGCACTGGGGAGACTGAGGCTGAAGGATAGCAGGTTTAAATCTGACCTGGGCTACAATAATGAGATCTTGTCACAAAAATATAAACAGATTTAAATAGGATTTTTATATGTATAATAAAATCTATAAATTAAAAATAATCACTCTAGCTGGGTGTGGTGGCACACACCTTTAGTCCCAGAACTCAGGATGCAGAGGTAGGCAGACCTCTGTGAGATCAAGGCCAGCCTGGTCTACATAGTAAGTTTTAGGCCAGCTGGGGCTGTAGGGAGACCTTGTCTCAAAAATAAATTTAAAAAAGGAAGGAAGGGAGGGAGGGAAGGGAGGGAGGGAGGAAGGAAGGAAGGAAGGAAGGAAGGAAGGAAGGAAGGAAGGAAGGTAGGTAGGTTACTCTAGTTTCACATAAAATGTCAGTTTTTTTGTTCTCCCCCTTTGAGTAAGGTGATTAAGAAAGGAAAAGAAAAGAAGCAAAGTTTGAGTACCCTCAGTATGAAGATCTGAAATTGAAAATGGTCCACAATCTAAAACTCTGTATATCACTGTTCAGAAAGTTTCAGATTTCAGGTCACTCTGGATTTGGGTATTTAGATTAGTGGTGTTACATTGGAAAGCTCATATAAATATCTCCAAATCCAATACTGAATCTGATACAATTCTGGTCCCAAGCATTCTGGGTAAGGTTTATTCAACCTATAATATTTCCAGTATTTCATATTTCTTTTAGCAAATCTGTGGGTGAGAACTGACAGCAGTCACATGCAAACCTGTATTAGTATTTTTAGCTGTTACAGTAGTCATGTATCTTGATGATAGAGGAAAGCCTAGTTTCAATATTAAGAAACTAAAGATTTTAAGAATTCAAAATTTAAAAAATTTAATCCATATCTCTGATTTGACAATTAGATTGCATTAATGGTGAGTTATTTTCATTAAAACTAATAGATCCTTTTTTTGTTTTATCTGTCGAGTCCAATTGTGCTGCCCATAAACCCTTGGGTGTGTGGCCATCCACTGCAGTGGTCAATCTGCACAGAGGCCATACTCTTAAAGAAAACCAGCTCTCCATTTCCCAACAGCTCTCAATTGCCAACAGCTCTTTACCTACAGGTGGGGTTCCTGTCCATCCTCCCTCTCCATGCTGGAATCTTGTGTGCTTGAGTTTGCACATGTCTTATGATGGTGCTACAAGCACTGTAAGTTCATTTACGAACCTGCCCTGTTGTGTCTGTAAAACACTTCCCTTGTATCTGTCCCATGGCCTCTAGAATCTTTTTGCCCCCTTGTTCCCGATGATCTCTGAGCGTTGTAAGGACAGGGTGTGATACAGCTGTCTCATTTAGCGCTGAGCATTCCACAATCTTATTTTCTGCAACTTGACCAGCTGTGGGTCTCTGTGATCATTTCCATCTACTGCCAGAAGCTTTTCTAATGAGGCCTGAAAGAAGCACTAATGTATGGGTATATGGAGTCAGTTTAATGCTATGGAGTTGGGGGAGGCGGGAATATGATCAGAACACATTGTGTAAAATTCTCAAAGAACTAATTAAAAAGTGAGAAAAGAAGAAAAAAAAAGAAAATCTTTTTCACCTTGGCTTGTGCAAAGTAGATATGATACTAAATAATAATAATAATATACTAGACTTAATTTAAAACAACAAAATAACTAGTATATCCTACCAATAACATAGCTATAAACTATAAAGTTGCTTAATTTTACACAGCTGCTTAAATAACAGTGCATTTTGCTGTTTTCAAACAAATACATTAGCACATTTTATAAAACTCAGTTTTTTAAAAAATATATTTTATTATTTTTTTTTATGTGTATGAGTACATGTATATAAGTATATCTCTGTCATGCAATACATGCAGGTCAGAAGAGGGCATCAAAATTATCCTGGAACTGGAGTTAAAGATGGTTGTTAGCTGCCATGTTTGATTCTAGGAATCGAACCCAGGTCCTCTGCAAGAGCAGCCAGTGATCTCAACTGCTTAGCCATCTCTCTAGACCCTTAATTTTCTTTAAAAGATTATCCTTAGACCCAAAGAGACCCATCTCTCTTTTTGTAAGGATCTAAGATAAGTTTGTAGATAAAACAATTCCCATTTTTCTTTTCCTGATATACTGAAAGCTATTTTTAAAAAATGAAAAGTATATTGTTGATGTGAACTTAGACCATAATCCTGGAAGAAATTATTTTTAAACGTGCAACAGCATCATACTATGCCTAAAATAATTCATTTTGTTGAAGATAAATACAACATGAGCAAATATTGATAATATAGCTAGAGTCGCGGGAAATTTCTTGATAAATTACATACCCATATGTATTGTAAAAGCAAACAGACTACAGATTTCAGTTCATTCTCAGAGTAAAATCCTTTTTGGATAAATTCACATATACTTCATGCAAAGATAATCAGCAAAACTAATGTGCAAAGATAAATATCAAAATATAAGCAAATTACTCTAACCTATATTTTTAAAATACTTCAATTAAAAATATTATAACTCAAATGACAATAAATTAGAGAGAGGGGCTGAGGAGATGCTCAGCTGGTGGAGTGCTTACCATGTAAGCACAAGGACCTGAGTCCAGCTCCCCAGCACCCACATGAAAAGCTGGACATGGTGGTGCACACCTGGAACCTCAGCACTGAGTATGTGGAGTATGTGGAGCCAGTCTAGTCTAATCAATGAGTTTCAGGTTCAGTGAGGAGCCCTGCGCCCCCAAAACGAGGTGGAGACTGACTAAGGAAGAAAATCAGCATCAACTTCTAACCTCCACACAGGTGTATTCTCACACAGGTACACATACATAAATACCCATACAAACACATACATACAACACACACACACACACACACACACACACACACACACACACACACACACACACACAGAGAATAAAATAAAATAAGCTGGACAGAATTCCTACACCTTCCTATGCATACAATGAAAACAACTATCCCTCTGAATGAAAAGTATATATAGGCCAGTCAGGAATGTAAAGTCAAAGAATGAAAATAGAAACTGATATTTTAGTGAATTGAAGATACATCTATATTATTTTTTTTTAATTTGGAGTTATCAGTTTTACTCTATAGTCACTTAATGTCTAGAATTTGCCAGGACTTCCCGAGCACTCATTGAAGACTAGCAACTGGTCTTGATACTCGTAAGCATTCCTTCTGCTATTTCACGCCACATTTCTACCCGACATGCTTGGCCTCTCATTGCTTCTATTTGTAGGTGTTATGTATAAACTCCTTGCTTCAGAAGACAAAGAGTTCAACTCTCTTATAGTGCTCCACCCCTACCCAAACTTCACCTTCCTCAGACTTCCTAATACAGCCCTGATTACAAAATTCTGACAAATACTTTACACGTACATCATTATAATTGTGAAAATACTATTCACAGTTGACCCTAGAACCTAGGTCATCAAACACAAGACGGCCATGATGAGGAGGCTAATCAAGATCAGCCCCATATGTCATATGCCTGGACAGAAACATCTAGGTAGAGGAGAAGATGGCTCTCAGAGGGCGGACACGAGGAAGGAAGGGAGAGGCTAGCTTTTTGTTTTTGACTGTGTCACTCTATCAGTAATAGTTTGGATCTGAAACAGTGATCAGGGCATAGGAAAGTAAGCAGTGTGGAAACAAAACAATTATTAACCCCAGGAAAAAGTTTTACTAGAAAGGACATGGAATCTAAGCAAGCTCCATTCCTTATTTCTTGGATCCCACATCATCCTTTAGGAGTTTTAATGTACATGAAGTGAATCTATTACAGCTTACATGTTTCTGTTTGGTGACAGACCCCTTAGCTGCCATGCTTTCCCTTTGTCTCAGAAACTAGTCTATCACCCTCAACCCCTGTGGGACAGAGAGCTGATAAAGCTGTAGCCCTGCAGGCCCCTTTCCCCTTACAGCTGTGGGTAAGCTCAAGACAACCTAGAGCCATCACTTTACTCTTCTCAGTGCCTTGCAACTTTGGTAGGTTGGCTAAACCAGGCTAGAAAATATAGTATGAAGCTTGCCCACTCCTTTCTTAAAAACCTATAAAAATCAGAAATTCCATTTGTCCTATGGAATTGAAAGCTTGTTCTTCCTTTAAGACCCCACTACAGCATGCATTTTTGTTTTATTGAAACAAGGAAACAGGATTCATGAACTGTGCTGCCCTAACTCTCCTAATTCTCTCCCAAATGAAGGCCTCATCATGGTCATCTGGCCAGGAAGAAGGAACTTCTAATAAAGCTCTTCTAAAGCCCAATTTTGGGTCCGCTTACTCTTTACAAACTTGCTTTCTTTTGTAATTTCTAATGGTTTCCTGCTTTTCCCCTAACTGCCTGCTATGCCTTGCCGGTTCGATTATGTTTCTTCTTCTTGACCTAAAACTACAGTTCCAGGAGTATCATACTTATTCTCTCATCCCTAAAGTGGTTTCCCTGTCCCAGGGTTTGAAATACCACTTACATACTGAAAGAACCAATTTTATAGCCCTGCTTCCTCACTGGGTCATTTTATTCTCTACCTGCTTTGTTGTTGTTGTTGTTGTTTAATTGAATTTTGCAAATTTCATACAATATATTTTGATCATATTTAGACCTCATCTATCTGCACCCCTTATGTGCTTACTTTTCTTTGAAAAACTACCAAAGCCAGGCGTGGTGGCGCACGCCTTTAATCCCAGCACTTGGGAAGCAGAGGCAGGCAGATCTCTGTGAGTTCAAGGCCAGCTGACAACTGGGAGACACTGTCTCAAAAAGACCAAAAGAAAAAAAAAACTACCAAGAGGCTATGAAGCCTATTTCTTTGACTGATATTTTAAGTGGCAACTGCAGGCATTAGGACTTGGGAGAACTGTCACTGCAGTCTTTTGGTGCTCTGTGAACTAGAACCCTACGTCACTCCGATAGATAGGTTAGTTATCACCCTCTTAGATTTTAACAGCTGACCTTCAGTTCATGATATGGCATACTAGGTGATAAAAAGCTTTCAAATAATTTTTAATGGAATATGGAAACTATCAAAAATATAACTCAGAAGGAGGGGGGTAGAGGGTGGTAGGGTGAGGGTGGAGATGGGGAAGGAGGTCTGAATATAATAAAAATTCATGGTCTGAAAAATCATAGCTGGGACTGGAGGGATGGCTCAGTTGTTAAGAACACTGGCTGTTCTTGCAGAAGACCTGGGTTTGAATCCCAGCACCCACATGGCAGCCTACATGCAGGCAATACCCTCATACACACAAAATAAAAATAATAAATAAAATTTAAAAAAAGAAAAACCAGAGCTTAGAAGGAAATTGTTTTTAACATAATTTCACCTATAATGTGTCGCTATAGTAATATTTACAATTAAGCTCAAGTGTGTACCACCAAGAGACACATGCAAACCGAAATGAAGGTACATTTAAGACAAGACACACGAGGCTGCAGAGATGGCTCAGCGGTTAGGAGCACTGACTGCTCTTGCAGAGGACCTGGGTTCGATTCCCAGCACCCACATGATGACTAAGAACAATACTTAACTCCAGTTCCAGGGGAATCCGAAGCCCTCTTCTGACCTCTACGACATTGCACGACACGGGTGCACTCACATACATGCAGGCAATATGCTCTTACACATAAAATAAAAATAATATTTTTTAAAAAGATAAGACACACAGTTTGCAATCTGATAAACTTGGCTTTCTTGAGGAAGATAAAGCTTTGGTTCTACTATATCACTGAAAACTAAAGGCTGGAGATTTTAGGGTATTAATACCCAGATAGCATAGTCCAGTTATCATGCCCCATTCTAGGTATATAGTGGCTCTAGTGGCCATGGATGTCACTTAATAAAGCAGACTCAATGAAAGACTTATGTAAATTGTTATGCAAATTGTATGTGTAGGGGTGTGTGTGTGTAGTCATGCTTGGAAAAGAGAAAGACCCTTTCTCAAGGTATAGCAAGCATAATGTGCAGAGACTGTGTGGAGGCTCCACTGGCTGCACTTAGTTATACACACAGTGAAAACAACACTGTGCCCTGCCTGTAAAGAAATCTCCCAGGGGATACAGCACATTTATTTTTTTCACTTACCTGATTGTATGGTGGTAAAATTTGAGGAGATTGGAAATTTTATATAATAAAACTGCCCCAGGTTCAGCAAGTATTACTTGTTCAATTCGAACCTATTAAAACACATGAGGAAAAAAATGAACATTTCTCAAAGCATATCTTTTCTTCATTGATAATGTGGCATGAATAACACCGAAATACTCAAGGAACTATTTCATTATTGTGGCAAATGCTTTCTAAAGAAATTCTCCATATTAAGTCATAAGGTATGATGAACATTTTAACACATTCTTAAAAATGATCCATTATTTGCAAAACTTGGCTCTAACTGGGTAATATCAGAAGCTACAGCAAGATCATTTTGAGGTTCAGCTCCACTATGTATGTGAATTTAGTTCAATAAGTTTTAAAAGCAGCTGTAACATTCCCCAAAACAGATGCTCAGTCATCAACACTCAGAAAAAGAGGAAAGAATTCTTGTTTTTATTATATTGTTTAACCAGAGACTAGGAAAACAGAAAAATCGTAAGTTAGCACCAAAGTATTTGCCCAATTGTGAGACTACAGGGACAAAAGCCAGATATGGTTGAAGATTAGCTCACTCATCCTAGGAATCTGCTAATTTCCATTAGTCACTGATTTTTCTTAGTCTGTATGCCCTCTTCACAAATGCAGTCCTAGTCACACAGATGCTTGCCTATGTGCTATGTGATCTATCCTAGTGTCTTCAAGCTGTACCTTACATTATTATCTTCTTGCTTTCTAAACACAGAGACATTGTGTTTGCTGCTGCCTTTACATCTCTGTAGCATCTGGTGGAACAGTACACACACTGCAGATATTTAACAGCCTTTGAAAGCCAAAGATTCACTGTTCTTTAATTTTAGGATATAGCACTGTTAGCAAATATAATTTGCTAAATATGATTTCATAAATGCATCTATAATATTTTACAAAGAATATCTGAGTTAAGGACATTAATTTATCTTTATGTTAGTATGCTTATGAAAGTGAGCCCTCTTAGGCATAAGGCAACAGAATCCGGAATGACATTCACACTTAAAAATCATAATTTCCATATAACCACTTTTTTGGGGTGTGTGTGTGTATGTGTGCGTGTATGTTTTATGTGGGTGTAAATAAGTGCCCACGCAGGTGTGTGTGTGTGTGTGTGTGTGTGTGTGTGTGTGTATGTATACATGTGTGTATGTTTTATGTGGGTATAAATAAGTACCCACACAGGTGTGGTGTATGGAGACAAAATACAAAATAAGGTGTCTTCCTTTATTGCTCTCCCCTTTTATGAAACAAAGTCTCTCACTGAACCTGGAGTTCACTGACTGGGTAGGCTGGCTGGCAAGAAAGTGCTCAGGGTATCCATATCTGCCCACCCCCCACGCCCTTCTGCTTCCAGAGCTGGGAATACAGTACAGTTACAGGTTACCACCTCTCACTTTTAAGTGGGCATGGGAAATCCAATTCAAGTCCTCATGCTTAGTACGAAACACTTAACCCACCAAGCAATCTTTCTGGCCTCAGTAACCACTTCTTTTTAGGAAAAAGTCCCACAGATATTACACAGTAATTACATCACTAAAAGTGTTATTTTCTAAAAATATAATTATTAGAGTGAAGGACGTTGATTATGGGCAGGTCTCCATAGCAGATGGTTGAATTACACCAGTTCAGCTATCCAGCAACCTGCCTTATGGAATTAGAGACATCAAGAGAATTCTTCATTCCCACTCCCTGAAGAAAGTGAAAACGGAGGGAGGCAGAGAAAAGGTGATTGAAGAAGAAGGAAGGGAGGGAGGCAGAGACATCACAAAAGTCTACCTCTCTTCAGCCCAGAGATCTTGAAGGAAAGTGACATCTTAGGGCCACAGTAGAGACAACATAGAAGGCTGGGAAAACTGGGAACCTGACAAATGCCACACAGTAAGAGTGACTGGCTTTGACACACCAAGGATCGCCCTGCCTTAAGAGGCTACAGAAGAGACCAGCCTTTCAGCAAAACCAACAGCCTCAGGAAAAACAAAATTCTGGACATAACAAAAATATTTAAAAAGAGAGAAGTGGCGGTGGCAGCAACTGGCTGGAAATTAGGATGGTGATGAAGCAGGAGGACAAGACTCCTTAGCAGAGCTTGAGAACACACAGGAAGTGTGTGAAACTGTTTTGACCCCTAAGAAGTACCCAGTAAATCACAGCAGTGTTCTCAGAAGGACAAGAGAGACTCAGACAGGTGCTTAAAGGAACAGAAGGGCTGCAGGCAGTCTGACAGCCGCAAAGCCAGGGGCAGAGGGAAAACGGAACAGTGCTTTCCTCTCCAAAGCCACAAAGCCAGAGCAAAGGCTGCAGACAGAGGACCAGAGAGGACCTGTTTCTGGAGACAGGAGAGAACAGAAGCCTAAATAAGCTACTGACAAGCCCTCCTTGCCGTAACCTCACAGGGAGCTTAGCGATGGCATTTGTCCCAAGGATACTTTAGCAATTGTGGGTACAGTTCCTATACCATGACATGCACTACCCAGCTCTATTTCCTGTGTCATTTTCTCTGTACAGGACCCTCAATAATTTATGATACATTGAAGTTTTCATTGAGCTCCTAATAGCTCAGTAATCTAGACTATTTAAGGGAAGGAAGGACCATTTACTTATGGACTTGAAGATCAAAGAACTGAATATACAAATTCTGATGCTTCTGGCTACAGCTCAGCAGTGAATAATACTAGGAAGGTAATGGGTTTGATGCTGACAAGACTGCATCCTGTAACAGATGTGGTTTCAAACTCAGACCACAGAGTAAAACAAAGAAAAAAGAAAAAACAATCAAAAAACAAAAGTGAAGTAAACTGAGACTGTGCTCCAGGCTGGTCACTGGGTCTCAAACTCAGTATCTTCTTACTTTAGCCTCCTATAGTGCTAGGAATATAGGTATCACCACCACATCTGGTAAAATATTCTCTTTTAAAAATGTTTGTAATACTTGTTAGGATGAAAAACAAGTTAAATTTATATGAACAGTGAATGTCTGAAAGTCAAACTGGCAAAGGAATATTTTTATTTAGGAGAAACACATAAAAATAACTTCAAAATACTTTTAGATTATCAAGTCATGCTAATATTTGAATTTATAAACATAACTGTCACAAGGTACGTCATTTGAGATTTGCTTGCTTGGGTCAAAACACTAAAGAAAATCTTAGAAGTTAAAAAAAAAGCTCAGTTCATAAGAATAAATGAAAATACTTCAATGTCTCTATACTCAATTGAAGTCAGTAAGAAGGAAAAGTAGACCAACACTGCCAAGCTTTCTGAAATATCTGTAAAAAAAAAAAAAAAAAAAAAAAAAAATCTGTTGCAAGCTGAAGTACAGGGAGCCACGCACTTCATCTGCAGTTACTGCATTTAGTCCTCAGGACTCAGTAGGATGCACTGTAAAAGGCAGGGCCAGGGTGAACATATTATGATGTGGAAAAGTTAAGCACTGGAACAAGCAAACACCATTCAATAACAGAAGAAAATTCTCCAAATTCTGTCCCTGGCACTGTAAGTAGTTTGGTAATAATACTGATAAAAATGTTTTATACTTAGAATAATCAGTATTTATTGGTATGATAAATAAAAAGAAGGTATTATGTTTGAAATGATACATTAAACGGATACATTCATTATCTGTCTCAATTTAATACTTCTCTATTTATTAATAAGTAGTATAGACAACATACTCTGTGGAAAAAAAAACTCAATTCAAGCAAATTAAGGACATTTCCATTTTTTTTCTTAGAAAATTGGTGTGATGGCTAATCTTGACTGTCAACTTGACATACCTGGAAAGGATTCTCAATTGAGGAACTACTTTCCACCAGACTGGCCTGTGGGCATGTCTGTGGTTCATTTTCTTGATTGTTAATTGATGTGAGAGAGCCCAGCCCACTATGGGTATCATCATTCCTAGCGGGTGGCACCAGGCTGTAAAAGAAAGCTAGCAGAGAGCCTGCAAGAATAACCAACTAAGCAGGCTTCCTCTGTTGGCTTCCTCTTCAAGCTTCTGCCTTGAGTTTCTACCTTTGCTTCCTTTGGTGATAGAACATAACCTGTGAGCTGAAGTAAGTCCTTTTCTCCCCAACTTGCTTTTGGTGTTTATCACAGAAATAAAAACATATAGAACTGGCAATGATTTTAATTAAATGCATTTTATTAGCCTACTTAGGGTGCTGATTTGACAAAATCACAGCTTGATTGCAAGCTATTTTTTATCAATTTATCTAAAATCCTAAGAATAAGTCAATCCTAAAGTCAGGCATGGTGGCACACACCTTTAATGCCAGCACTTAAGAGGGAGAGGTAGGAGGATCTCTGAGTTTGAGGCCAGCCTGGTCTACACAGCAAGTTCCCAGGCCAGCTGGGGCTACAGGGAGACCCTGTCTCAAACAAAACAAAACAAAACAAAACAAAAACCTAGAAAGTAAAAACAACAAAAGAATAATGTCAACACTTTCACCAAATACCTGACAACATATATAAAAGCAAAATCCTTTACCTTTAGAGGCCTACACACACCCTCAGTGATATGCCCAACAACTTCTTGAATATTTTCTTCAACACCTAAAATTAATTACAACATAATTATCATTTCCCAAGTCATATCTTACTCAATGCAAATTTTAAAAACCAAAAAAGCTCCTATGCTTAATGTCATAACACTTAAAGTAAACATAGCAATATTTTGTTAAGTTTGATATCTTTTGGGACATTATTAGTTGTAACTATTAACACATTTCTAACTGTGTTAGCAACTAATGTGTGTCTAGAAGGCACTGATAATTCATCTGAGTGCTGAATTAACAAAGTGAACATTCTTCATAAAGAACGTGTGTGAAACAAAGGAGAAAACCCTATGAAATATGCCATCTGGAAGGGGTGATAGGGAGACGCACAGCGATTTGTTCTGCAAACACTGTACTCAAGGCACAGTGTGGAGCACATAAGCTGAGAGAGAAGGCTGAAAAACAGACCATGTGATCGAACAGAAAACTGGTATTTTCTACATAGCGATTATCAAGTACTGTGCATTTACAAAGTACAATTGACAGATAACTACCTTCATTTTCACCAAGTGAGGCTCAGAATTTCACTTAACTCTCACCTATTTTCTTCAAATCTCTGAATATTGCCTCTCATATAAACTTTTCTAAAGATACCTTCAAAGGAAACACATTCTTTAAAACTGGGTAACAAAGATAATAATGGGGCGGGGGCTTTAAAAAATGCAGACTTTGGCCAGCATGGTGGAACATGCCTATTATCCAGCCCTCAAGAGGCTTTAGGCACGAATACTGACAGCGAATATTGACAGTTTCAAGCGAGCTTGACACATAGTACGATCATGTCTCAAACAAAAGAAATGCAGAGTTTGTGCCAATCTAAGACATATGCTGAGTCTAATCTCAGCACTGCGGAGCTGAATCTATGATGTGAGGTATCACCACCAACTTGCACTTGGTCTCTTCCCGCAGACATCTGATAAACCACAGTGATACGTGGCCACACTACGTCAAGTCAGTGATATGTCTTCATTTCCCATCAAAGGCAGAACATCGAATTACACACTAACTCCTCAAGCTCTAGAATAAGCCTTTGTGATGGGTGTCAACTTAACTAGATTTTAGAATCACCCGAGACTTATTTCTGGATATGTCTATGAGGGTATTTGCAGAGGCTTAATTGAGGAGGGAAGACTCACACCCTAAATGTGGCTGGGGATCCAAAGTGGATGAAAAGGGAAAAGAGCAATAAAGCCCAAGGAGCGCCTGCAGTCATCTTTCTCTGCTTCCTGACCGCACACACTATGGCCAACCACCTCACTCCTGCTGGCACACCTTCCCTGCCATGACAAACTGTTCCCTCAAATTGAGAGACAGAACACTCCTCTATTTCCTCACACTGCTTTACTCAAGCACTCTATCACAGCATCCAGAAAAGTAGCCAGTACACCCTAAAGGAGTCACAATGAAGAAAACTTGAAATTTTATAGACATGCCAGCAGCAGCTCTCAAGTGCAGTCACTGTTCTCCCTTGAAACCAAAACAAACATTTAAGGACCTATGGCACCTACTACGACTACTAATAATAAAAGAATTAGCAGCTTAATGACAAAAGCAGCACGCAGCCTGTTCACTAAAGATATAATGAAGACCACAGCATCATTACCTCTAAGAGTCATGCTGAGGACCTGAGCTAATGTGCACCAGGCATTCCAGCAATGTCTCACAGTGAAGCAGCATGCACGCTTCACATGGAAGGTGAGGGGCCCACTAAAACTTGAATGGTTGAGTGGCAGGATGACAGCACTGGAGGAAAGTCTACTAGCAGATAAGAGGGAATCTAGGGACAACAAGATGCTTATTGTACCATCTAGATGTGAAGTGTTTAACTCAGTGAAGACAACAATGAACACAAAGAAGCCCTCTGCTATTTTCTCATCCAGTGTTAGTAATAACAATCAGTGTACTCACCCTGTGTGGTTACGAGCTTCACGAGAGCTTCCAGATGTTCCTTTTCAGAAGCAGTAGCTTGATGGAGCCATGCCAGCATATCTCCCACGTACCTAGAGAAAAACCAGTCACCTGTTAGCAAGATGTCCTGGGGGAAAGTGTAAAACCCTGTACTGGGTGTTGATTACTATACCTCAAAGGGTCATGGGAGTGCATTTCAATGGGTCTAGGTGTACCTCCTGGGCCTCCTCTTGTAAGAGCATCAATAAACCCACGAACAACTGTACTTCGCCTGGCTGTTCCAAATTCATCTAAGGTATACCTAGAAGAAACACAGTATGTGATAAGCAGTTGTACTTTTTCCTAATAGACCAGTCCTTCAATGTCTAAAGTACGCAAGAAGTTTCTCAAGCAGTTCTGTCTTTAAACTAAAGTAAAATTATGAGTAATTTTAGCATGTTGAAAATTCAGTTGAAAGGTACAAATTTTGCTCCTTCAAAGAAAGAATGCTTGAGACTAAAATAACAGCAGCAGTAGCAGCAGCAGCAATCAGGATAAAGCATCAGCTTGGTAGGACACCTGGGCCAGCGCTGGAACCCTGAACCCTTTTGGGTCCATTTCTTGGCAGGCAAAACATAATGCTCTAGAGTTTCATACCTAGAAGTCCTATACCTAGTTTTCAGAAGCAATCCAAACACTAAGACCTTTTCTTTTACATTAAAACATTCTCCTTATGTTACTACTACAATGCAGCACCAAAAATTGACCCCAAATTGCTACTCATTTTTAAAGCTATGACTGCAGTAAGACATAAGACTTGCTCCTTAAACTCACTAACCATCCATTGCACAGTCACCCTGTAACTAAAAGCAGGAGGGAAGTCTTTGTCTGGTCAAGGGCCTAGAAGAGAAGGAACGCTGTGGACCAGAGCACAAGACAACTGGGGATGACTGTGGGGATGACCTGGAGGTCCCACACTGCCCACTTCTTTGACTAAACGCAGCTCTTGTTTCCTAATATAACTGTCAATCTTTATACTCATCCCATCAATTAAAAGTTGTATTTTCACAGTACACAGAAGAAAAAAAAAATTACAACAGTGTAATGTCAGCAGATTCCAAAATACTACCAATTACAGTTCTTGTTTCCTAATATAACTGTCAATCTTTATACTCATCCCACCAATTAAAAGTTGTATTTTCACAGTACACAGAAGAAAAAAAAATTACAACAGTGTAATGTCAGCAGATTCCAAAATACTACCAATTTTTAAATTCCTACACAGTATGCTGCCAGCCTAAATATTAAGAATGAACATACTAAATCACCAAAATTACCCCCAATATTTTCAGAAGAATTAGCTTCTTAGGTTACAATGCTTTCTGTAATGTGTTACTAATGAAAAGTCCATATTCTGTTTACGATAAGAACGCTGGAAGATGTGCTGCTGCAGCTAGAATTCTTGAGAGCCTGAACTTCTTTTGAGGACTGCTCACATTAATTAGACTGTGGTTCTGCATATGTATTTTCAGTTCAAAAGAAATGGTTTTGAAATCTCTTCAGACAGCGTAGTAAAGGAATAGGAAATGCAGTATATCACGCAAAACTTTGCTAGGCTGTATAAATGTTTTCACAGTTACTCTTTTTTTAAAACAGGGCCTGGAATTTGCTATGGAGACCAGGATGACCTAGAACTCACAGAGATCCACCTACCTCTGTCTCCCAGTGCTGGGATTAAAGGCATACCACCATGCCCAGCTCTATTTTTATAAACTAAGTTCACTTGTATGCTTTTTTCTTGAGCTTTTTGATCACAAATGTTTAATGTGGACAAATCTTTGAATTGATAATGTGGCTGAAATTATGAACTGATGATCAGATAATTACTTTTAACTAATTTTTTTTTTTTTTTGTCTTTTTGAGATAGGGTCTCCCTGTACCCCAGCTGACCTGGAACTCACCATGTAGATCAGGCTGGCCTTGAACTCACAGTGCTCTGCCTGCCTCTGCCTCCTGAGTGCTGGAATTAAAGGCGTGTGCCACCACGCCCAGCTTAACTACTTTTTAATTTTTTAAACATATAAAACCAATCTTCTTTCCTAGGCTCTACTGCCAAACAAGTGATAAAACTGTTTCAGAGGCCTGTTCACTTGGGCCACAGTGATGCCAGAAAAAGTGAACCCACTAAATGTTTTAATACCAGGTATTATCAAGCCTGGTGAGCACTGAGATTTAATTTGTATGATAACATGAAATTCCATTTAACATTAATGTTGGTCCTCCTGCAGAATAAGTACAATTTAAGCAAAACCACTTTGAGCCTGGAAGAACCTTTAACAAATCTATAAACATAAAACATCCTCAAGAAGGATAAAAATTCATTTCACCAAAATTAGACTTTTTTTCAATTAAGGTTAAATTTTTAAAATGGAGCTTTGTAAGAGTATTAAAAGTGCATAAATATTCTAAAGTGCTATTTAAAATTAAAGCATTATTTTTATTATGTCTATATTAAATAACTGATCAAAAGGCAAATTCAAAAATAAAAGAACACTGTAATATCTCCTCTTTGGAATGCAACAATAATTCATAAAGAAAAAGAAAAACTGGCACTGTATAAATGGCTACATCCTGAAAGAATTCATGTTCTGAAAGTTTACTAAAGGAAAAGAAGTTAGGAATTCTTTTAAAAACCTTTCATTTATACTTTTTCTGTAATATTTTATTTTTATCTTATGCATATGAGTGTATCACCTGCCTGTATACACCAGTGTCTTACAATGCCTGAGGAAGTCAGAAGAGGGCGTTGGATCCCTTGGAATTGGAGTTAGAGTGGTTGTTAGCTGCCATGTGGGTGCTGGGAACTGAACCTGAGTCCTCTGCAAGAACCACCAGGGCTCTTAACTGCTGAGCCATCTCTCCAGTCCCTATACTTAGTTTTTAAAAGAAATTTCTGCTCATGGCTGTTCTAATTTAATTTCTGTTGCTGATAAACACCCTGAATAAGCAACTTTGAAGAGAAAAGTTTGTTTTAGCTCACAATTCCAAGTTACTGTCCCTCTTTTCAGGAGATCAAGGCAGGAACTTGAAGCAGGTCACATCACACACACAATCAGGAGCCAGAGAGAACATGCCCTTGCTTCCTTCCTGCCTGTGGCTTATGCTCAGCCAGCTTTCTTTAATGCCCCCTCCCCAAGACATGTCCACAGGCCAATCTGACCTAGGTAAGTTCTCATTGAGACTCTTTCCAGGCGATTGTAGGTTTGACAATAAAAAACAGCCAGCACAGCGGCTTATTAAAATAACCTATTAGCATTATAGTTACACACTATTAAGAAACATTGGGTTAGGAAACTTTCTCAAGGACTTAATTAATATTTTCTTGTGCATAATACCTTTTCATTTGAGACAATAGTAACGGAGTACTTGCTCATTACTTACACAAGGTTCATACACTGCCATCTGGTGGTTAGCATGAAGCTGTAGATGATTATTTAAGAAAAGGCAAATTTTCTTTCTTTCTTTAGCATTCACCATGGTCTCGGAAACCTACTTTCCCACTCAGCTTCCAAACATCTCTTAAAATCTCAAAATGCCATTATTGCTCCTGCTGACATCTGCTTTTCAGAGATCAGCCTTCTCTACATCTCTAGCCTGACTCCCAAGGTTTTCCCTGCTGTCCTGTTGGCTTAAGTACTCCCCTACTTAGCTTAGTACACCTCTCTGCCAATTACAAATAATGTCTAAAATCTAGTGACATGCTAAGCACTGTTCTTAAGCACCTAATGAGATGAGGCCTTCATAGCCCCATGAAGCAAGTACTGCTACTAACCTCATTCTACAACAAGGACACTGAAGCTTACAAATTCAGTAACTGGGGCTGGGGAGGTGACTCAGTCAGTAAACTTCCTGTTACATAGCCATGAGGGTCTGAGTTCAGGTCTTTAGCACCCATATAAAAAGCCAGTGTGATGGTACACAGCTGTAACCTCTGTACTAGGGAGAATGAAACAAAAGAATCCCTGAAACTTGCTGGCCATCTAGTCTTCACAAGTTGATGAGCTCCAGATTAGAGACCATGTCTCACAAAATAATTAATAATAATAATAATAATAATAAGTTGGACAGTGATAGAGTAAGACACTCAACAATGACCTCTAAAGCATGTCATCAGTCTAGGTGCCCATCCACAGATGAATGAATAAAAATATGGTACATAGGCACAATAAAACATTATTCAACCATGAAGAAGGAAATTTTATTTTTGAAGCAACAAGGACAGAAGTGGAAGATGTCATTTTAAGCAAATTAAGCATGCATTTAATACAGTTATGCTGAAAGTTTAGAGAGATAGGACTGAATAGCACTGGCTGCTCTTGGAGGTTCAGTTTCCAGCACTCACATGGCTGCTAACAAGTATCTGTAACTCCAGTTGCAGGGATCTGATGCCCTATTCTGGCTTCCACAGGCACTACATGCATGGGTGCAACAGGCAAAACATTCAGACACATAAAAGTAAATATATTTTTAAAATTAATCATATTTAGTATTAATTTATTTACATAGATTTCAGCAATCCTTTTCAGGTGCCTAAAATACACAAAGTATTTAAAAAGAACAACTTCTGCAGATATAAATCTGCAGCCAGTGTAACACTTGATTAAAATCAAATGCCAAATGTTTTAAGAACTAAAAGATGCTCATAACCAATGCCAATACTTTAAAATAAAAACTTTGGCAAAGATTTCAAAGTAGAAGTGAACTGCTAACTTGCTGATCAACAGCCAACATCAACTCGTCACAGGTATATGCTCTTAGGATCAGGCCCTTGCCACTAACTCAACAGCTGTTTAAACTTTTCTAGTCAATTCACACGTTCACAGCTGCTATTCCCTCAAAGTGGAATATCCTGTTTCCTCTTCACTATCCAACCTCGGAGCTCATTGTATTCCTGTATTCCTGCTTCCCTTAGGAAAGATGTCCTGAAGCTCATCTCCCTTCTCTATCACAGAACACTTGGACAACACAGCACCTGAAACATGCCATTTAGGCCAACAAGTAACGTATCCTATTAAAATTCATTTGCCTCTATCTAGTTCTCCAGGTAGAGGAGTTTGAAGGAAGCATTTTAGACATGTTTTATCTCTAAGCACTTAGAACAGTGTAGCATGTACCAATAAGTAGCATGGAAGTTGTCGTTTTACACTATTGAAACAGTATGTGTGTTCTGTGATGCAGTTATAAATTAAGAAATGTTACAAATAGAAAGGAAAGAGAAAATTCTCTAAAGACCTGCTGGAAGGGATAACTTCGTGCAGAAGTCAATGGCTCTGGATGAACCCCCTGGCTCTGGCCTGTATCAACAACCCTCTGCCCCCCATAAAGCTTATTTTTTATACTACTAACAGATCTTTAAAAAAAAAAAAAAAGTGATGCAGTTATAAATTAAGAAATGTTACAAATAGAAAGGAAAGAGAAAATTCTCTAAAGACCTGCTGGAAGGGATAACTTCGTGCAGAAGTCAATGGCTCTGGATGAACCCCCTGGCTCTGGCCTGTATCAACAACCCTCTGCCCCCCATAAAGCTTATTTTTTATACTACTAACAGATCTTTAAAAAAAAAAAAAAACTCTTTTATGAGTAATTCTAAAATACAGAACAATAATGTTTTAAATCAACAAATTAAAATGCATAGAATTCTTACCACAAGCATTACCATGGAGATCTTGGTTGGCATAACTTAAAGATCAAAAATCTGGACTCTTATTTTTGAACTCCCATTGATGGAACCCTGATTTTGAATACTCAATTTTCTTCTGGGGGTAATTACATAATAAAGTCTCTATACGACTTCCTTCTTCAGAGATGCATTGATACAGGAATTTCGGTGATATACAATTCCAAGGGAGTTAATGAGATGACAAACAAGCTAAACACTTGCCTGCACACAACTACCATGCAGTCATACTGCAAGGACGCCCTGGTTTTCTCCTTATTACATACAATATTCCAATAAGCTGATGTTCCAAGGACACACACATATAGATGAAAGTAATACTATAACCATGCACTATACTCAAACTATTGTACATGAATGTGATACCAATAAAAATAAAAATAATCATCAAAGAAGGATTTCTTACTTATACAGAACAGGCCTATCTTGCAGGGCTTCCATGGCCTGAGTTAATACTGGAGATATATCACATGACTCTTGTGTCAGTGTTCTGCATTCACCTGAAATATAATCAGCATTATAACCTCTGTTAAAGTTAGTTCTTTACTATGTCCATTATTCAGAAGGAGTCAAAATTCTATAGAAAATGATACCCTGACAAGAAGTGCTGAGAAAAACAGAAACTTCTCCAATCGAACCCAACTGTTGCTGTCAACCAAACTAAAGTTTAAGTGGTTATCTATCTTTACAAGATCACATATGCTATCAGATACATTCCAAATCTGTATATTATTATTACAAAAGCAGACTAATCTAAAGAAACCACTCAGTTAACAAACATTTGTACTGCCTGCTTTCTTCAAAAAGCAATGACTATTTTACTGTATTATTCAGTTTATTTATCAAATGCTTTTAAGTCCCTACTGTGTTCAAAGAACTGAGAATCTGCTCAGAAATCCCCTTTCTTTTGGCCTTCCACTAGCAGTGCAGTTCTCAGCACACAGTGACAGAAAGGCATGAGCACCTGAGGGACTGGAGGCTCCATTCCTCCTGGGAGCCAAGGTGCGGGTAGCTACCACTAGCTCAGATGTTAATCTGAGGCCACACCTTGCCTTTGAGGAAGTAGAGTCCAGCTACAAGGATAAGTGAATAAGTAAACACATGAAAAGTTATGCTATAAAACTTTTATACTGATGAATGCTAAATATTCCCAGCGGTTACTGTTTAGTGATGGTAAGTCACTGTGGTTCACAGTGGCCATGGTGAATTCTAGAAAGACACAGAACCTTAGCACTGTCTTGAAAACTAAGACAAGACTTGATACAAAGAGAGAAAGACAATATACAAGACAGGACCAAATAGCATAAACAAAAAGAGGGGTAGAAAATAAGCAATCTAGAACATAAACTACCTAGAGCAGAGAACTAGGCTTCCAGTACAGTGCAGTATAGCCAGCTAACTGGATTAATTCCAGCCCTTCCAGCAGTAGCTGGTAATTCCTAGCACACTGTGCATTCACACTTCACTGCTGCTCAATGTTCACTGTCTTCCCTGGTCTTAACATGCTTATTTTGCCAAAAATTTATTAAGATATTTTTAAAGCAAAAGCAAAGAAAACATGTGGTAGGAAAAACAATGGACCTCTGAAATTACCCATAAATCCCTGGAACCTGTGAGTATTACTACCTTATGTGGCAAAGGGGACTTTGCAGATGGAATGAAGTGGGAGATGTTGATGTAAGGAAATTTTCTCAGATTGTCCAATTAGGTCCAAGGTGATCGTATATCTCTAAATTAGAAGAGGCTGGCATAAAGAAGCTAGTCAGAAATAGGAGATAGGGAAGAGGCAGAGGGGATGAAAAGTAGAAGTGACTCGATGAGGTGCCGTGGGCTTTGAAGATGCAAGAGGACAGAGATGAAAATGGATTGCAAGACAAAGCAAGCAGGCAAAAACCCTTAAGTTAAAACCTTAGCCAGCAAAGAACTCAGACTTCATCTTTAAAAACAGAAGTGACTGAACTCTGCCCACAAATGGGCTGAGCAAGGAGCGACACTCTTCCTTGGGATGTGCAGAACTGAATGCAGTCATTCCAACAGTTTGATTTGAGTGATAGGAACCATGGCTGATTTCTGACCTATAATAGTTCAAGATAATACACTCATGATGTTCTATCTCAGTTTATAATAATTTGTCACACTGGAATAGAAAATTAATTCACTATTTGTAACATTACAGCCACATAAATACCAAGAGCCACCAAATCAAACATTGCCTTCATTTATTTACTCTAGGGCAGAAACACTGTTTTTACCTTTTTACCCTATGGCAGAACCGCTGCCTTCACTTCCTGTATCCCCATCCTTCGTCAAGCACACTGCCTGGCTGACTATCAATGGTCCTGATACAAACACAAAGATAATACATGCACATGGGAAGTTTGCTTTGCTTTTCAAAAAGTATCAGTTAGGAGCTGGAGAGATGGCTCTGCAGTTAAGAGTGAGCACAGTGCATACTGCTCTTGCAGGAACTCACATTCAGTTCTTAGCACCCATGCCAGGCAGATCACAACCACCTGTAACTCCAGCCCCAGGGATCCGATGTCCTCTTATGACCTCCTCAGGCACTGTAATCATGTGCAATCCCCACCTCCAACGCATGTACACATAATTGAAAATAAATAAATAAAGGCTAAGTCAAATTTTAAGAATTAATACTCACAGAAAAGTTCATTTAAAAAAAGTCACTTACTCTGAGCCCATCGGTAAAGTCTTTCATAAGCTGTTTCTTGAAGCAAGGCCATCTGTTCCATAATTTCCAAACTAAAAAGAAAATTTAAATTTATTACAATTTAAAATTTTACTTAAAGCTGTATTTAAGAACTTAGTTATTTATATCTAATTACATAATGATTTGGATATACTTTACTATCTATCATGTTATAGAATGGCTTTTAGTAATTTTTTAACAATTAGATAAACGTCAAATTTAATTCCATTACTTATAAAGTTATTTTAGTGTAAATAAGAGGGCCTGACCTCCACCTTTTTGTGAACACAGTTCCATTTCCCAGAACAGTGTCAGCTAGAACCTGGATGCCTATGAAAGCACAGAGCAACAGCAAGGCAGTTAGTGTGATGAGCTACTCACCCTGCTGTCTGCTGGTTGGTTCTCAAAAGAACTTTGACATCATTATGAATCTGTTTTACTCTTCCCAACGCCTTGAAGAAATCCTTTAAAATTAAGAATATCACTTTTAAAAATCCATGTTTTCAGGAAAAACTCAATTACTCTCAATTTAAAATATCACTACTAAAGCAAAACAAAATGTTACCCATTCTAACGAAGTCTTACACGGATTTCAACCTTCTTCACATATTTACAGAAGGTATGATATCTATTACTTCGATTTTAAGACCTATACTCATCCAATGCCTACTGTGTAACAAATAGTATGTGAGGCACCAGTAATACAAAATCGGTAGAGACAAACTCCCAGTCATCAAGAAGTATTTAGCCTAGAGAGAGAGAAGTGTGACCCTAAAGATCACCACCTAAGAGAACAGCCATGGCTTACTCATGACCAGCCCAGTGCTGTGATCACTCAGCTGATTATGTATCTGCTACATGCCCAGCTAGGGCATGCATGCTACATGCCCAAGAGTAAAAACATTTAGTCAGACAAACACAGAAGGTGCTCACTGCATAATTAGCTAATGCTAATTCGAGTTTGTGACTTTTAGGAGAGTATACTGAAGCCTTAGCTTCTAGAATGTGAAACAGAGTGCCATATGAAACTCTGAGACACTCAGTGAAACCCCACCACATCTCAAGAACCATTCTTGCCAATGGATTCCAGAAAAGAGGTTCAAGTTTATAAGCCTTACCAATTAGAAGACGGAAAGATTCCTTTCTGGATAAACTGCATGTCTTCAAGGGCAAGAACAAAACAAACAAAACAAACAAAACAAAACAAAACAAAACAAAACCATTCCTTGTTTAGCATTTTGAAAGGTTTTATAAATTTTATCATTCAGTTTGTAAAGACTGGCACAGCATTAAAAGAAAAATAGATAAAAGATAAATTCCAAATCCAGGAAAGACAGAAAAAAAAAACTATAAAAGAAAAATAACCAATGTAATATTGTAATACCAACAGAAAATCTAAGTGCATTGTAATGTACAACAGGGATAAAGAGAACGTGTGTACGCCTTGTTTATGCCGGAAGAGAGGCAGGAGATACAGCAAGCTAAATCCTCATATTTCTTGTCAGGAAAGTGGTTAAAAAAAAAAATAGTTAACACAGATAATCAGAGAATAATCTTTTAAATCACAGATCTAATATATAGAATTTACACAAGATGAAATTAACAGGGTGAAATTAGTTCACAAAGGATTCAGAAGCTGAGAGGAGAGGAAACAGGTTTTCTTTAGAAGTTGTACTGTATTCTTAGACTTTAAAAAACACGAACTTAAGAAAAAAGCTAAAAACTAATTAAAATGTGTCTTACTTTCAAATTTAGAAATATTTTCATGGCAACTTTTAGATGGGAAAATAAAGCTTTTTAAAAAGTACTTTCTCTGTAACATCTGTAACTGCTACACAGTGATTATAACAGAAAGCAAGGGTACCTCAGTAATGGGACCTTCTCTAGTGCCTCGGAGAAGATTCATTTCATCAGGTGTCAGCTGGAACTTGGACAAAAAGGCATCTGCAACTTGTGCTCTTATTTCTAATCTTTGACTATAACAAACAAGAAAAGTTGAGTGTGTTATGCATCTGCACAGCTAAAAAACAAACCATATCTCTGACACAGTATCTTGTAACGCAAGGGTGGGAAAGATTCTCAACATCTCTGAAAGCCTTGCTTGCACCTAGGATGTTGGATGTTCATCAGTCAGGCACATGATGAAATCATTACAAGTTCATCAACCATGTAGATGATAAAATTAGCTGACACTGCTCTACCTTAGGTATCTCCACACAGATCTGAATTATTCATTATGCAAAGAAGAAGTAAGTTCACAAATGGTGTCCACATTATCAACTTACAGCCTTATGCACAGGCTATTTTCCAAGACAGAAATATGCTCTTGATTTCAAGCAATTTCCTCTTAGTCATTAACACATCTTAAGCCTTTGAAACATTCACATGAAGTACACAGCAAACAAAAATTAGCTCTGTAAGTTTTTTGTTTTACCTTAGAAAGGAAGGGCAAGAACTCCTTTCTTAATTCCTCATAAGGCAATAAAGTTATATCTCTACTTTGGTCTTCCCAACTCTTTCTACTTGATAATAAAAATAGTATTTTAAATTTTACAATCTGAATGTAATTTAGGTAGACTAGCTGGCAGATTAGTAAATGGCACACTCTGGTCTGGCAGGAAATCTTCAGAGACTGAGGGCCTGGGTAGGATTACCATTTAAAGGTCAGTTATTGCCTGACCTCCCTGAATAGCAACTCAATAATCCTGGTATCTGAGTTCTGAATCTAGAGATGTATAAATAAAACTGTACGTGTTTCATACATGGACATGATGGCACATGCCTGCAGTTATAATATTTGAGAGGTGGAGATGCAGGAGAACTGCAATTTGAGGCCAGCCCAGGCTCCATAGTAAGCACCTGTCTCAAAAAACCAAGGGCTAGCTACCCCTGACAGCCCAATACCTGTAAGGCTATCAGTTTGAAACACAGCACAAGAAAACCACGCTCTCACCATAGTATTCAAAGAGTGGCAGTGTTTCAGAGGGCTAACCTTCAAGTGAGAGCTAACAAAGATAAACAGTAACACCACTCATGTACATGGCACATGTTGCTTTGTTTTACTTGTATTTTTAATTTGAAAGACATTAAACTCACTAAGTCAAAAGCCTCTGGGATGAATAACACAGATATTCAAGAAAGAAAAAAAAAAAGTCCAGGTGTTTACCTCAAACAATAAAGCAAACCCTCTAGTTCAGTCTCCACAGAGTTAGAGGGTGTATCTTTGCAAGTGTCTTGTCAAAACTACCTAAAAGTCACCTACCATGTATTGTTTTAACCTTTGGATGAAGCTCCAATTTGATTACACAGGATAAAAGGTAATTACAAAATCTCAAAAGTTCTTTGAGACAATACAAATTAACCAATAAACCATTTTACTCACAACCTTTTTGTTTCTTTTACTTTCTTTTCTTGAGCTACTTTTAGGCCTATCTTTAGCATCAATGGTTAGGCACAAAGGAAAATCAGTGTCCTCATAGCTCCACACTTAACTAAATGGAGTGCTGCCACCCATCTTGATCACACCTCTTAATCATTATTAAAAATGGATTCCAAATAATATGTTTGATTGGATCTAAAAACCAATCCAGGCTTTACATCTACAAAAGAGGTGCCCCAAAATGTTCTGAACAAAGGAAGTCACTCTACTAAAACAAAGGTTTGGTGTCTCAAGATGGCAACCAGTAAATGCAATGATAGAAGAATTCTAAAACACCCTTCAAACATGCTACTTTGCAGTTGTACCGGATACACAATTCCCTGGTAAATTCTCAGTCTCAAGAGTTACTGCTCCACAGTGCAGTGGTTCAAAGGGTATCTGAGAACTGAGATGACAGTTCGGAGGAATGACAATATGTTAGGCTCTGTACAGAAGCTGCTGCAATACAAAGTGTGTATGATGAGACCTTGCCTTTATCTGTATCACCATGGAAATACGGAATTGTCGGAGGGTTTGAAATCTCTAAAAATTTTATGACAAAATTTAACATAAGACATGGATTATAAATTACAACTTCTAGAGTACTTGAGACATGCTGAAGCAATCACTGTATATGACAGTAAACAAGACAAATAATATACAAACAAATGTGGGAATTATATACCATAGAATACTATGTAGCAGATAAAAATCAGGTATATTTATGTTAGGACAAAGTGAGCTATCAGTCATTTTATAGACTCAAAAACCAAACTGTAGAAAAATATGCATAGAAATTTTTATTTATTTTTAAATACTAGCTATTCACACAAAATTTCAAAACATAAAGTTATGTTACCTAGGTGTTTAAAATAAATAGACTAGTTAATTTTCATGAGTCCCTCAAATTATTCCAGGACATGATTTATAAATCTATGATAACTTTTCCCTAAAAATATACCTCTGACACATTTTGATTCTACCTCTTAAACTAATCTTACAAAATAGTTTCTTCTAAATACTGTAACAATAAACACTAGATATAAAGCAAACAAAATGAGCACATAAAAATGGCAAAGAAAAAGCATACATCCATTTGGCACTACTTAATGACATGCAAATTACAATAATTTGACATACTTTTCACCTATAAAATTGGCAGTGGTTTTAATCACAATGCCCAGGACCAAAAAAGGTTTAACAAAACAGATACTGTGACATACAAGGAAAAGAAACTGGTATAAGCTTTTTGAACAAAATTTGGGCAACATGCACCAGGTAATAAAATGTTTATAGCACCGATTCAGACATTATAATTGATTCCAGGAGGTAATCCTCAGCAAATAATCTAAAAAGAACATAAGGACTTAAAAACATTTCTGGCAATGGAAACAGCACGAATGTTCAATAAGAGTGGTGAAGCATACATTGATTCATTCACAAAATATGCTACTGAAAACATGATCCTTTGAAGTAAAGATCACAGTAACACACAGATAAAATACTAAGTAAAAAAGCTGTTTTCCTTTGAATTTTACATCACTGATACATATTAATGGCGCACCCTTTAATCCCACCACTTGGGAGGCAGAGGCAAGTGGATCTTTGTGAGTTCGAGGCCTGGTCTACATAGTGAGTTCCAGGACAGCTGGGGCTATAAGGAGACCCTGTCTCAAAAAAAAAAAAAAAAAAAATTGGTTATGTGTATGTTTGTATGTGTGCATGTATGTGGGAACATGCTACACGCCTGTTGTTGCACAGGACTATCCTTCAACAGACAGACATGGACAGACACCACCTTCCCAAGCTTGGTTGTTCCCGCTTGCCTAGGATCATCACAGCTAAGCTTGTTGACTGTTATGGCTGCAAGGAAGGAGGAGCAGGAAGTTAGCCACACCTCTCAACCAATCTGTAGGCCCTTGTTGCATGTGGTCTGAGGGAGGGACTAAGGGTAGGCTGAGGAAGCGTAAGGGAGGCTCCCTCACCATTTTATGTGACTTGTGGGGAAGCCACCATCCATGCATGGATGAAGGCTTTCTAGTGTGGCCTTAGGGGAGCACCCACATTCTTGTAAGTAAACCCTCATCCACTGTTCTGTAAGTAAGCCCAATAAACTCACTGCTTTCCCCAACTGCCAGCCTGGTCGACATAGTGAGTTCTAGGCCAGCTGGGGCTATAGGGAGAAGACCCTGTCTCAAAAAGACCAAAAAGAACAAAAAAGAAACCTTTATCTAGAACATAAAAACAATTTATATAACTAGTTAGTTAAAAAAAAAAAAAAAAACCACAACAATTAAATAGGCAAGAGATGAGAAGAGACTCTTTTCCAAAAATGTGCAGGTGGCTAAATAGCACATGAAAACACAAAAAGATAACATCGGTCACCAGTCACTCTAGAATGTGAAGCAAAGCCACAGTGAGATGAACATTTCACAAATGGCAGTCTGCCTATCAAAGGTATTACAAAGTGATTCAGAAAGTGGAATTCTTACATATTGCTGGGGAAGCATAACACTAGGAGGCTTCTTTGGAAAACTGCTTCTTAAGTTAAACACAAAATTATCACATTTGGGGCTGGAGACATGGCTCAGTGGTTAAGAGCACTGACTGCTTTTGCAGAGGGCCTGGGTTTGATTCCCAGCACCCACATGGCAGCTACGAACCATCCTTAACTCTAGTTCCAGGGGCATCTGGAGACTTCTGACCTCTGAGGCATTGCACGACATGGGTGCACTCACATACATGCAGGCAATACACTCATACACATAAAATAAAAATAATATTTTTTAAAAAAATATCATATTTGATCTAGCAATTCTGTCCCTAGGTGTATACCTAAGAGAGACAAAACACATGTCTACATGAAATTTGAATGCATGCAAATATTTATAGCATCATTATTCATAACCAAATATTGCAAATTATTTAAGTGTCTATTATCTAATGAACAACAAAATATGGTGTATCTATATGACATCTTTTTCTGTGGTAATAAAGAACTAAAAATAAAAGTGCCTTTACATTTAGATACACAAAAGGCAGGAAAGGATTGGCAAAACCAAACTTTCTTTAAAGTTAAAGTAAGCAAGAAAGCAGACTCTTCATGTGAGGAAACAATCTGGAAACCAAGAATTCACTTTTTTCCTCAGGGGGAACTGGGGTTTTATTTTGGGGTACAGGCTTCAGTGTACTGGGGCAAGCTACTCCCATGCCTTCTGAGTGGCTTTACTAAAAGGTGGAAGGGAGGACTGGTATGCAGCCTGTACCAGACAGACTACATATGTCTGGGGCAAGCAGCAGACTACATCCACATGTCTGGGACCAGCCAGCTGACTTAGATCTTTTTTTTGTGTGTGTGTGTCTGAGTATTTTGCCCACATGTATATAAGTGCACCACATAATGTGCCATGCCCATGGAAGTCAGAAGAGAGCATCAAATCCCCTGGAACTGGTATTATAGATGATTGTTAGCCACCATTTGGATGCTGGGAACCAAACCCGGGTGCTCTGCAAGAGCAGCCAGTGTTCTTAACTGCTGAGCCATCTCTCTAGCCTCGGATCAAATCTTTTAAAATTTAAACCATTACATATCTGCAGAGTGCCAATATTTCTACCTTAGACCTATACTTCTGAACACACACTTTTGAGCCTAATGCCATTTTTTAAGTCCTTTAATGATCACTATTCTAAAGATAACCTAAGGTTTTTTAGTTTTGAGCTTTACACCCACACTGCTATCTCACTTAACTTTCCATGCCTATTGGCACTGAGGATCTTTCCAGTAATGTATCCATATATGCTCCCAAATCTTTGGTCAAATGTTAGGAAAGAAATGAAAGCCAGGTCTGAAATGCAAGCAGATGCCTACTTGCAGGTTAACATCAATTAATTAAACAACAGTTTAGGGTGGCGCTGGTTAGCCTGCTTGCAATGTCAATGTGACAAATGAGGATTTAGGGTTCCAATTCCTATGTTATATAGCTATCTCCTTCAAATTGCAACATTCTTTCCTGTGGGAAAGAAGGAAGCTGGCAAGGGAAGAGGGAAGCTCACAAAATGCAGGAAGCTAAGGAAATGTGCAAGGCTCAGGAAGCCCAGACGTTAGAAGACTCACAAAGTCCTTCCTTAAGGTGGGGCAGTAAATAATTGCCCCAAGATTCTACAGAGCTGCCTGCAAGCTGTGAGGGGAGCTCTGGGGCTTCAGCTTCTGTGATCATGTATGCCGGGTGGGTTTTCTGCTGGGGCGGCTGCCTTTGAGTCACCCAGGCTCCTGTAAACAGCACTCACCTGTCCCTGTAAGCACCCCAATAAACTCACTGGTTCACCTCAATAGCTTCCAACTCTGAGAAAGACAATTAACTCCTTTGTGGTTTGCAGGAATTATGAGATGGGTAAAAATGAATTTTACTGAAAAAATAGACCATAGTAAAGAAACAGGATTTAAAAGATAATTCCATGCTTAAGTTTTTGATACTTTAAGGGTTTTCTTCAGCATGACTAAAAATTGAGAAAGACTACCTCATTCAATCATCTTTCAAATAGTCTCAAAATTAAGTATTGTTTTTACATTTTTCTATCCTGTGTTTTTTGAAACAAAACCTTACATGGAATGCTAGAATATTAAATGAGTAAAGTTGAAATCTCTCTACCTAAATTTAAATAATTGATTCTAATCCCTCAAAGTCCAAATTTTCCTAATTTCTAAAAGCAATCCTAAGTTTCAATGAAAAATTCTAGGAAAACTACAGCTCTAAAATAAGGTAGATATTCCCATATTCAAGTTATGCTTGTTACATTTTTTTAATGCAGTTGCTCTGTTCTGTACACTTTACTTTAAAATGTGGGGTTTTCTTGTTTTGTTTTTAAATATTTTTATTGATTTGAGAATTTCATAGTTTATTTTGATCATATTCAGATCCTTTTCTCCCTTCTCTACCCTTACCTTACCACCCTGTCCCCCAACTTCATGTTCTCTATTATTATTTGTCTTTTTTAAATTCTTTCTTTTTTTTAATTATTGAGCTTTTTAAGTTTCATACATTTTCCAACAAAATCCAGACCTCCCTCCCCCAGCTATGCCTTCCCCATCCAATATGACATTTTATATCATCCGGTACAATTCTACAGGCTTCCTTTATTGCTTTACTTGATTCTTTTTTTTTTTTATAGATAACTTTTTTACTGAGAACTATTTGAGACTGACTGCTGCTGGGTGAGGGAGAGCATGACTTATGTACGACCACTGGATGTACATGTATTTCCTTTTGCCCACTTTATTTTTTTAAATTATTTTTATTTTATGTGTATGAGTGTATTGCCTACATGTATGTAAGTGCATCCAGATTGGGCAATGCCTACGGAGGTCAGAAGAGGGTGCTAGATCCCCTGGAACTGGAGTTATGGACAACTGTTAGCTGCTATGTGGGTGCTGGAATTGAACCTGGGTCTTCAACAAGAATAGCCAGTGCTCTTAACTGCTAAGCCATCTCTCCTGCGCCCTTTTGTCCATTTTAGCAAATATTATTATTTTATTCTCCATTTCCATAAGACAGAAAAGCAAGTTATATTGGTTACTAAACCACAAGCAAACACTGCTATCACTGAGTCTTTTCCAGCCCTAAGACCCACCAGCTCTTATATAAGTAGCTTTAAACTTATGCACTCTTTATAATTCCCCACCCATCATATCTTCCTCTATAGAGAACCATGTTAAGAAGGAATACAAGCTAGGCATATAGCTCAGTGGCACAGTGCTTGCTACCATTCTGGAGACCCTGAATTTAACAACATATTACACAGCACAATGTTTACAGCACTTAATCTGTATTTCATTTAACTTTATTCACTCATTAATGCAATCAAGAGTCTACTTTCATGAACTAAGAATATATACAACTGATTTTTAACTATATCAGAAGAATTAATCATAGTAAAAAAAAAACTATTAAGTGTAAAACATACAAGAACATTATTAAAATCTGAAAACACTTGTATTAAAAAGCAATCATTTCAGAATTTCACAGTCAATACACAACAGTATATATTCATCTCTATTCTGAAAAGGAAATAATCTCTGAAACCAAGTAACAGGTTTAATGATCCCAATGATTACTTTCATGTTAAAGTTAGTATTAAATAAAGCTTAGGGTTTATGTCTTCCATGAATTTTGAACCATGATGTAAATTATTTTCGTTTTGATTCAGCATTATCTACAACTTTCTTTCCACTTAATCTCCATTAATGAGGATGTGACAACACAAAGAAAAAACTTACCTTTCGGCTTGAAGCTTAGTGGTTTTTACTATTAAATCCTGAGTCTGTTCTTTTGCGGCCTAAAATTACAAACACAGATAACATAAGTACATTCCAATTTCATTATAATTCAGAAAACTAATACCACTACTTCCTGGAGTTCAGACCAATGGTAATGAGATCATTCTCCAGAATGCAAAGCTTTAAAAGGCCGAAGTGACTGAAACGGATGTTTCAAGGTTCGTGAGCTACCTTTAGGAAGAGGAACGCCCTCAGAATTCTCAATACAATAGTGACACCTAGAAGAAGGAAGAGCTAGGTAAGGATGAGAACATGACTTCAGTTATGGACAGGCTGGGTTGCATACTAGGAGACCACTAAACAGGGTTGTAAATTAAGTCACTGGTATAAAGTTGGTACTAAGCACAACAGAAATGCATGAGGTGGAAATGAAGTTTCAGAGTTAGAACATTTAACTACCTGACAATTAGGATGTTGAAGAGTATCAGAGACAGCCCAACCTGAAAGTCACCAGACTGCTTCTGAACAAATTTCATATAAGAACTGCTAACCCAAACACCCTCCACACTTTTAAACTAGAGCTTTAAAAAAAAGAAACCAGAAGTGAACTTGATGATTGGAAACTATCCACAGATTAGCCAGTCATTATGAAGCAGATCCCAATAAAACACAAGTGTACCCACTCAGTCTCTCTCAGAAATCCAAACTACAGAATACTACAAAACAAAATGATAAGGGCTGGCAAGATGGCTCAGCGGGTAAAGGCCCTAGCTGCCAAACTGATGGCCTGAGCTTGATTCCTTGAACCCATACAGTAAATGGAGGGAACCAAATCCCACAAGTTATCCTGTGACCTCCACACACACACATCATGGCATGCACATGCATGCATACCAAATAATAAATTAAATGCAATTTTTTTAAAAGGCAACAGCAATGAAAGGCAAAGCAAGTGGCGAGATGCAGGGAGAGCACAGGGTCCATGCTTTGAAAGGACACAGAGCCAAAATTATACACAATTTAGGTCAGTAGTAAGTGGAAATTATATGCTATAGCTAACAGCAGCACATAAAACAGAGGTGAGTCACTCTGGTAAGAGAGGAACTAGAGCAAACATCTGAAGAGACTGCACTGAAAGCCCAGCTGCTGCCATTCAGGTCTCTAGGGCTGCAGGTTCCTAAGGCTTCCTGTTCCTTCCTGCAAACTCTATTCTCAGATTGTCAATACAAAATCTTTCTGTTTCCTAAACACCCTGTCAATGAGAAAGATCCCACCTCCACCCCAGTGGAATGCTTTTAAAGAAGGTGAACTAGATGATTCAGTGCATCACTGACACTGGATATAATAGCTCTCTAGATACTCCTCTAGAATTATGAGTTTTCAAATCCAATACCTTCTTCGATACCTATATTTCTTGGTTTTTTTTGCTTTAAAGCTTAACTTTCACCCTTTCATATTCTTGCCTTGTATACACTTTTCAAATTATGGTATGTTTTTTCAATCCTAAGAAATATTTACGCTTTAATATTTCTGAAAAGAGTGCTTCGTGAATCCATACATAAAAATATTTACTAGCTTTTTACTAAAAGTCATTATTGAACTGATGGATACATATTACAATTGATATTTAATTAATCCATGAATAAGATAATCCTGTACAATGTAATAAGAATTTTCAAGTATGTTTTGAATGCTTTCTGACTTTTCACTTATAAATTGTGATGATGATTCCAAGACAATATTTAATAGTACAAATGAAGACTATCATTCTAAAATAATTTCCTCTTAATATATCTTAAAGATGACCATATTTTATTAAATAACAAACATGAGTTGAAGTTAACTTATTTTCAAGCAAACCATAGCCAAAGAGATGTCATGGCATATATAATAAAAAAAAAAAAAAGCACTGGTTAAAGTTTTAAATGTTATTCCCTAATAATAATAATTTTTAAATACCCCATGTTTAAAGTATTTTAGAAAATAGTAAACAATTCATCTTTATAGCGCCACATAATGAAAAGGGAGAACATGCTAAAAAATATTTTTCTGGAGCTGGAGAGATGGCTCAGCAGTTAAGAGCACTGGCTGCTCTTGCAGAGGACCCAGGTTCAGTTTCCAGCACCCACATGGCAGCTAACAACCAGCTGTAACTCCAGCTTCAGGGAATCCAATGCCTTCTTCTGACCTCCGAGGGCACCATATGTCATGAGTACACTTACATACATGCAGGCAATACGCTCATAAACATAAAATTACAAAATTTTTTCTTCATGAGTTTACTGAGCACTATTTTTATTGAGTGCCTACTACTAATAATGATTAATAGTTTATTAACTGAGTACTAGTAACAACAAGTTCAATAGCTGAAATTGGTTCTATGTAAAATTAGAAAGAATGAATAAAACTGTCCAAATAATAGATCTAATGTTTATTGATCTATGAAATAACATGCATAAAAGAAATGTAAACAACAGATCAAATCAAATATTTTTAAAAATTCAGTTACAAAGTTATTGATCTTTCACAAGTGACAAAAATGTCTTCTCTCTTAATTCTGGTGGTTATATCCTAGACATAAAAAATTGTCAAACATATTGACCACTCAAATGGACAAGGTTTATTAGTATACGTAATTTATTCCTCAAAGGCTACACATGTGTGTTTAACATATATGAGATGATGGTCAATCCCCAGTATCACTCCAAAAGTTAAAACTCATCAATAAAGTTGCTATGATAAAAAAAGATAACAGGTCAGTTTGGGGGGTTAAAATAGAGGTAGATTACAAAGCAAATACAAATGACAAAATAAAAGAAGACATTTTGATTATGATTTAAAGTACTTGTAAACTGTTTTGAAAACAGAAGAAAACAGAGGAAAAATATTTTGATTATTCCCCATTTACAAATAGCCATAATGAAAACAATAAAAATGTAGGGTTGAGAGCAAGAAAATAAGAAGCAGTATCATCAAAAAGGTATTATCCAAATAATCTAACATAAAAGATGAAGCTACCATCACAAAATAAAAATGAGCACATAATATAAAAAATCTTATAGAATGCAATTCTAGAAAATGCATTAACTTTTAGAAGCCAGAAGAAATAAAAAAACAAAACAAAACAAAACAAAAAACAAAAAGTGGTTAAAAAATTCACTAAGGGGCTGGAGAGATGGCTCAGAGGCTAAGAGCACTGACTGCTCTTGTAGGGGATCCAGGTTCAATTCCCAGCACCCACATGGTGGCTAACAGCTATCCATAACTCCAGTTCTAGGGGATCTGATGCCACCTTCTGACTGCCGAGGACACTGCACGACACAGGTGCACTTACACACATGCAGGCTATACACTCATACACATAAATTAAAAATAATAAAAACAAAAACAACTGAGCAATAAAATCAATGTGTAAAAAATATGAAATGACAATAGTAATTAACAAAGACTACATAATTATTTAAATATTACAAAATAAAAAATTAAAGATTGAACAAAGTGACCATAAATCTGCCAAAATATCTCATTATATTAGTGACAATATCAACCTTTACAAATTAGGAAAAATAGTTTTAGAGAAACAAGAAACTGACTAGTCCTACAGACAGATCTTGCCTATGATGCAGATGTATTTGTGGAACAGAGATTAATGGTTCTTCCTAGAATCACTGTTACTGTGATGGCTCCAGGAGAATCTCAGAGGTATAAGATTGGAACTGATATGCAAAGGAGACAGACACACTCATCACTGACCACTAGGAGAAGCAGCTTTATTCCCAGTACAAAATTACTAATAAAAGAAATTAGGTCAAATGCAGACAGTCAAGCTAGAGGTTCAGGAACGCTTAAATACATGGGCCAAATATTATACAAAATTTCCTGAGATTTCGTTTAGCTGAGGATGAATCAAAATTAAGGTTGGTCTTTACAAAGCATAGTTTTAGTTTGACCTTATTCCTCTACTGTTTTTATTATATGATAAATTATTAGTATTCAATTCTTGTGTAAAGAAATATTTGTATTTCTAAAACACATGCTGATTTCTTATAAGTATTTGCTACTTGCTACTAAGGAAATCGTTCCTGCTGGACTTCTAGAGCAATATGGATTTGAAAGATTTATCAAAATTCTACAGTTAACTCTGTACTAGTTCAACTAAAGTCTAAAGGCTTCTGGAGTTAACTAAATAATATTAATAACGCATCACTAAAAGAAACACAAAGATATTCACACTTTTGGGCTTTTTAAAAGCGTTATATTTACATAGAAGCATCCTATAGAGTATTATATATCAGAGATCTGTGTATTTTGTTACCTATCAAAGAATTCAGAAGCCTTACTTTGTACCAGGAACTATACTAAAATCTGCCCACTAAGCAGTACCTGTAAGCGACTTGTCATGTCTTGACAACAGCTGCTCATGGCTTGGACATCTTCATTGATGCTTTCCAGTTCCTGAAACGAAGAAAGATAATATCAATACTGTATATACTATAAAGAAATTTCCCTTTAAGTCAAACCCCACAGCTTCTTCTTTGTCAAAGCATAAAAGGCCCTTATGAAATCCATTACTATGCACAATGAGTATATGTCAATAAAAGAGAAGCCGTATTTAAGTTGGAAATGATGAAAAATAATAATACCTACTGCTAAAAAGGTATAAAGAAACTAGTTCATTCCTTTTAGAGGACATAAGAAAACAGCAAATACTTTAAACATGGACATCTCTTTGCACAGAATAATAGCAAAAATTTATCTTATGATCATAAGACAGATCACTATATAAGGTAATAAATATATTACTATTTATATTTAACCATTCCAAAATTTATATATACTTCAAAACATCATGTTATACATGACATATACTATTTTTTTAATTATAGGGTAAAATAATAAATGTTCAGTAAGACACAACAATATACATGAGGCTGATCAACAGTTACCTAAAACAAATGGAAACTGAAACATTGCTAACCATACAATGGAAAGCAGTACATGGACTGACAAAGGTGATATACAGGTGTTTATGAAACATTGCCTACATAAGGTTAAAAAAAGAAGTCATAAAACACACAACTATCTCATCATTTTTTAGAAAAAAATTTACTTTGATTTTCAAAACATGGGAACACAATACGATGACAGTTTTTTCTGGGTGACTGAATCATAAGTAACTGTTCTATTTCTGACTGTGATGATTACTTTTAACTGTCACTTGACACAACCTAGAATCACTTGGGAAGAGTCTCAATGAGGGACTGTCTAAAACAGCTTAGACTGTGGGCATGAGGTAGGGGATTATCTTGATTACATTAATTGCAGAGGGCAGACCACCCAAATGGGTGGCACTATTCACTGTAAAAGAGAAACTGAGCTGAGCACGGCATGCATGCACCGATTCACTGCTCCTTCTTCCTGATGATGGACATGAGATAACCAACTTCTTCAAGCTCCTGCACGGTGACTGCCCTGCTATGAAGGGCTATGGCCTAGAACTGTGAGCTGAAATAAACCTTTCTCCCCTGGGTTGCTTCTGTTTGTATTTTATCACAGCAATAGGAAATAATAACACATTGACCCATCTAACTTTTCTATAACAAATTCTTTTTAAATTTCACTTAAGAAAAAAAGTTTGAAAACTAACAGTTCCTTTCTTGTTGAACACAATCATATATTATTAGATCATGCCAAAAAATCTAGACAGTAGTCTCTCCCTTTATATTTCATCTCTAGCTTCTGGAGACACATGAATGTACTTGGTCTCTAAACCCTACTACTTATATTCACTTAACAGACATATTGCTTCTCTTTCGTTTTTCACTCCTACTACATACTTTAATTCAGGCAAGCTCTTATCAATTACCTGGATTAAGAGCAAAAGTCTCCAGTAAGTCTCCCAGGCTGTGCTATTAGCACCCTGCACATCCATTCCCGCTTTTTTTTAAAAAATATTTTATTACTTTTATTTTATGCGTATGAGTGTTATGACTACATGTTGGTAAGTGCACCCATGTTGTGCAATGCCCGATGACAGAAGAGGCTGTCAGATCCCCTGGAACTGGAGTTATAGACAGTTGTTAGTTGCCATGTGGGTGCTGGGATTTGAACCTGGGTCTTCTGCAAGAACAACCAGTGTTCTTAACTGCTGAGCCATCTCTTCAGCTCCCCATTCCCGCTTTTTATCAATGCCCTAACATGCAAATACTATCATAACACAAATTACTTTAAGCTTCACCATGTATCATCTTTTACCAATTTAATTCAGTGTCACACAACAGAAAAAATATGTAAGGAAGGAAATTTTGACAGTAAACAGGATCTTACTGCAGTCCTTGACAATACAAAGCATTCAAATACAAACAAGGTTGTTTTATGCAAAGATGGGTCAGCAGAGCAAGAGATGTGAAAGCGGTCAAGCAGGACTACAAAGAAAGCAGGAAGAGAAACCACGGTTAGAAAATCACTTACAAGACGGAGCATAAATCTTTGTTGTAGATTTCTTTATCCTTATGAGGAACTTTGCAGTATTAGGGGATGAACCCAGGGCTTTGCACATGCTAGGAAAGTGCACTACCACTCAGCTACATTCCTATCCCTGCAAAAACAAAATCACAGCACCACGTGTTCTGGAATGTTACTCTCTATATTTTACTATAAATATGATAAATCAAATTAGTAAATTAAGTCATAAACTGCATTGAAACAAACAATAAAAGAATTCTCAAAATATCAAGTAACAGATGGCTCACTGGTTAAGAGAACTGACTGCTCTTGCAGAGAACCCGGGTTCGATTCCCAGCACCCACATGGCGGCTATGAACCGTCCTTTTCCAGGGGAATCTGACGTCCTCTTCTGACCTCCATGGCATTGCACAAGATGGGTGCACTCACATACATGCAGGCAATACACTCATACACATAAAAAAAAAAAATCAAGTATTTATCAGCAATAGCAGATCCTACCCAAACTATATTATACTGTCTTACACCTCACTGTCCAACCTACTGAGTCTCACTAAGGTATTATCGGGCAGGTAGAATAAGAGCAGCTGGTCTTTTTAATAGTTCCTTCAGCTACCACATATGCCAAACAGATTTAGGTTGTAAGATGACAGATGCCATTGCTCTTGAGTACAGAGGCTTGCTAAAGTGTAATTTAAGGACTCTTACATTACTTGCAAAATTTTTGTTGTTGTTGGCTCTGGGTTTTGTGGTTGTTGCTGTTGTTTGTTTTTTTGAAAAAGGCTCTTTTGTAGCCCAGGCTGGTCTGGAACTCACTACATAGTCAAGAATGACCTTGAACTTCTGATCTTCCTGCTTCAAAATCCTACAGCTGGGATTAAAAGCATATAACCACAGCACTCAGTTGTGCTGTGTTGAGGATCAAACCAAGGTCTTTGTGCATGCTAGGCAGGTACTCTGCGAACTGAGCTGCATACCCAGCCCTGGAGTCTTTAAAGTTTGGCAGAATTATCTACCCTCTACCCTCTGAACAAAATTACTGGCTATAAAATAAAACTGGTATTCTAGAAAAAAATTAAATATCTGAAGTTGAAATAATATGAATCCTCATGCACTTATCATCCAGCTTCAACAGTGATCAACTCACGGCCAGTCTTGTTTTATCTGTCTACCACTGTTTACTGCTTTCCACATCCACGTTCCCCTCCCCTTATAAAATGAATTATTCTGAGGCAATTCCAAATATAATTTCACCGATGAACATACCTTTATGTAATTCTGAAAGGACTAAAAAATAGGATATCATTTTCATATTAAACAATTTGTTTTTGAGAGTCCCACTATGTACTCGAGCATGTTTTGAACTCAAAATCCCCTCACCTCAGCCTCCAGAGCACTGGGATCATAGAAGTGTACTATATTGTTGCCCAGCAACAATAATCTCTATTATTAAATACACAGTTAGTTCTCAAATAAAACCTCCATTTTCTCAAAAAACTCATACAAATAAGAAAGATTTATAAACACTTAACTGGTTGATGTTTCTCTTGTTTCTTTTTTTTAACATATAGATTCTTACTCCAATTTATTTGTTGAAGCCAGTTCAGTTCCTTGCATGGTCCCAAGATTCCAGATCTTTCTGACTCCATAGTCTCAGCATTAACACCCTAGGTCCCAGTATTGCCTGTAAGCTTCCAGTCAGATCCAGAAGCCTGACTGTATTCCAGTTAATTTTGTGGCAGAAATTCTTCATGGAAGATGCTGTACAGTGTTACCATCATCTATGTGGCTGCTTCTCTTTTTGTGAGGTCTGCAGCTAGTGCTAGGCAATGGCTAGTTCTGTGACTCTTAATCACAGTGATTCTTCACTTCATGGGACATTTGCAATGTCTGGAGACATTCTTGATTGAAACAACTGAGTGGAGACAGAGATGCTGTTAAAAATCCTACAGTTCAGAGAACAGTCCCCAACATATATTTAGTCCCAAATGATAACTGTCTCAAGGTCAAGAAATCCTGACCCAGATCCAATTCAATCACAGTTACAAAGTCTTCTTATCGTCTAGCATTTCTTCTACATGCACTAGTTGAGCTCAGGCAAGAGAAGTTTTTGGTCAACTGTATGCAGGTGGCAGAAAAGACAAGTGCTGGACTTGTTCCTTTTATTTAACAATTTTAAATATATTTACTTGGTTTACTTATAGCCACCAATGATAACCAACTAAGATTCTGTCAGAGGACAACACTCAGAGTTGGGTCTCTCCTGCCACCCCGTGGGATGCTGAGATGGAACTATAGGTTGTCAGGTCTGTTGCAACCACCTACATTGGCTGAGCCATCACACCAAGTCCTCGTTTGATTTTTTTTTTTAATATTTCATTTATTATTTTTATTTTATGCCTATGAGTGTTTTGCCTGTGTGAATGTAAGCGCACCTGTGTCGTGCAAAGTCCACAGAGGTCAGACAGCGTCAGATCCCCTGGAACTGGAGTTATGGACAGTTGTTAGCCACCATAGGGGTGCTGATAATCAAACCCAGGTCCTCTGCAAGAGCAGTTAGTGCTCTTAACCACTGAGCCATCTCTCCAGCCCTCCTTGTTTGATTTTTATTGTCACTGTGAACTCACAGACTTCATATATGAATCATTCTTACTGAAAATGAATGCGCTCATTCTTACTGAGGCTCAAATCATCCTGGCTTAATCAACGGAAGCCTCTTCAACCTAACTCAAAAGTCCTCTTGATAGTTATCCAAGACAGTTTTCTCATAATAATAAAAGTGTTCCTTTTAGTAGGCAAATGTGTTTAGAGACTGCCATCTGGATGTGTTCATTCTCTCTCTCTCTCTCTCTCTCTCTCTCTCTCTCTCTCTCTCGCCCTCGCTCTCGCTCTCACTCTGTGTGTGTGTGTGTGTGTGTGTGTGTGTGTATGTGTGTGTATACATGTCTGTGTGTGCCCTTCTGAGGCCAGAAGAGGGTGTCAAATCTTCTGGATCTGAAGTTACAGGCAGTTGTGAGCCCCCTGATATGGGTGCTGAGAACTGAATTCCAGTCTCCTGCAGAGCAGCCAGTGCTCTTAACTGCTGAGCCATCTCTCCAGGCTACTCTCAGCATTTTTAAAATGAATTCTACCAATCTTCCTTTCAGCCTTCTAAATTATTAGCTTTCAGTCACTGAAATTCCAGTAGACTGTTTAAAGAATGTTTTATTAAGCCTTTACTAAAACCATGCATAACACTTCCATATAACTTGCATACTAATATGTTAATTTATAGAAAAATTAACAATTTAATATTAATAATAATGAAATTTTACATATTAAACAAAATAAATTTGTACTATAATAAATAACATTTTCATCCTATGGTGAGTAAACTATAGTCATATATGATGAACTGTCATTCATATATTGAAATAACTGATCTTTATCTGAAAATTGCATACTTTAGGAGACTGTAAAAATAATTCAATACTAATTAATCTCCAGTGAAGAAGTGAGCATCTATGGCAGGTGCATCAAATAAGAGAATAGTTCTTCTGGAAAACCATTCAGAGAGATGTTATTTTTTGTTAAGAAATTACAATTCCTACAGAATTTCCTAAAACAAAGTTACAATTTAAAAAACTAACCTGCATTAATAGAGGTAGCAAACTCAGAAATCACACTAAAACAGAGTTGTTTCTATTTTACCATAATACATTAATAGTCAACATATCAATTTAATTAAAAAAAAATACTTAGCATTCCACTAAACATATAGTTCCCAATAATGCTGAATGAAAATAAGTTACATACCTCCTTCACTTCCTTGAAAATGCTCACAAATTCTTCATTGATGGCTAAACTTCTACGTTCAATATCTCCACGTAAATTTCTTCGAGTCCTTAAACTATTTTCAACAAAAAAGGCTGAAAGTGCCTTGAGAGCCTCCAACATGTCCTACACAATTGACAACAGAAGAAAATTATTAGTACTGACTTTTAAATGGCTTCCTAATCCAAAGACAAAATGCAATGAAATCATTTTCAAATAACTTATTTCCATTACACAATGCAAAAAATACTGTATAACTTTCAAATTACTAAGCAGTGAGCTTATTTCCAGAAAACAATGAGTATATTTATTTACATATATTGGTATATATATACAAGGTAATTCACTGTAGAACCGTAGAACTGCTTGAAATTTCAGAGACTGAATATAACCTGACTGTCCACCTAAAAGAGACTGATTAAATAATTATATATATTATTTTTTAAATACTTTATTATTTTTGTTTTATGTGTATGTGTGTATTGCCTGCATGTAGGTAAGTGCACCCATGTCGTGCAATGCCCATGGAGGACAGAAGAGGCTGTTGGATCCCCTGGAACTAGAGTTATGGACAGTTGTTAGCTGCCATGTGGGTGCTGGGATTCGAACCCAGGTCTTTTGCAAGAACAGCCAGTGTTCTTAACCAATGAGCCATCTCTCCAACCCATATATTAATATTTTTAAAGGAGGAAATTCTTTATGCATTTACATAGCACATGCTTTGAGAGATGGTATGTGAACCAGCAAGGCATAAAGTCATAAAACCAACAGTTATAAAGTAAAAGTATGCACATTCATATTACATTGGTGCAAAGGAATTGTGATTTCAGATAATAAATTTTAAATTATTACAACTAGACTCATATACATCTTTATTAATCAAAAATAGAAACTATTACAATCAATACATTTTTGCTAACAAGAAACGTTTGCTTATTTCTACACATAAAAATCCATGTTTTGGAGTCAATGAACTCTTGGAAACCATCTGTATCCTGATCTCCCTACAAAAAATGATTGAGATGCTTGGTACAAAGTCAGATGAATATGGTGGATGACAGAGTAAACTGATATGCTCTATATGTTTAAAAGTGTATTTCAACTCTGTAAGGAAAACAGATGACAGAAGGGAGCAACAATGGAAGTGGGCATAAGAAACCTGAAGTAGACAAAGCCAGACATCATCATGCCTCATATAGCAAGATGCTAGCAGTGTAGGTGAGGATAAATATTTTAAAAAGTAAGTTAGCACCTACACAGTCTGTTAATGGAAAGGATGGCATGCTTTTTAAAACCTGACCAGAGGAGCTGGAGAGATGGCTCAGCGGTTAAGAACACTGGCTGTCCTTGCAGAAGACCCAGGTTCGAATCCCAGTACCCATATGGCAGCTAACAACCTCTATAACTCCAGTTCCAGGGGATTCTATGCCCTCTTCTGTCCTCTCCGGGCACTGCCTGACACAGGTGCCCCTACATACATGCAGACAATACACTGATACATATAAAATAAACATAAATAAACAAAAGACCAGAAGCAAAAATTATTTACAGTTTCTAGCTTAAAAGGACAAATGATATTTTTTTTTTTACTATCAGAGAGCAGCCAGTTTAGGGGGGAAATCAAGGGTTTTGAAGACTGGCATGATGGCATTAGACTGTAATCTCAGCACTAGGGAGGTGGAAGCAGCAGGATCAAGGGGTCAAGGTCAGTCTCAATCACTTTCACAACAAGTAGGAGTCCAGCCTGGACTGTATGACCCTGTCTAAAAACACCAGGAACAAAAATAATAATAATAATAATGAAAAAAGTGCACCCATGTTGCTTTTCTATGTTGATTAGAAATCAAATTGGAGGTGTAATCATGTAATATTGACAACTAACTGCAAATCTGAATGTCAGTAACAGAGCTACAAATTTTGAGCATCATCATGCTTTTTACCATTTAAAACTGTGAAAATGAAAGCACTCTCTTACAGTAAGAATTTGCATAGAGGAGGGAGCATGGTCAAGCCCAGGATATCACAAAAGCACCTGAAATTCCACAGATACGACGTTTCCACACCTGAACTAAGTATATGGTAACAAGTTTACGATGTCACTTAAAAATATTTGTCACGTTGGGCTGACAAAAACAATAAAGCTATTCAAATGCAATGTAATATCTGAGAGTAAAAATATGTTCACAACTACAAACATTTACTGTGTGCACACTCACACAAGTCCTAAAAAGAAGGGGTTTCTTTTTATTACAGTCTTAAAATGTCCTATGGCATGGTGGAATGGACAAAATCACAAAATTGACTGCAAATACAGCATCACTAGGTCCTCAGGTGAAGCTGCATGGCTTGCCTGTGCGACTCTCCTTCCCTGCCTTCTTTTGCTCCTGGGAAGAAGATGTACATTCTAGAGATTATATTAACTGAGATAACAAATAGTAATATTAGGTACATTAAACACAATGAACTATACATATATATATACACACACACAAACATTAAGAGACGTCAAGCGCATCAGTGGTGTCTTGAAAACCCAACATGGATTCTGAGTCCTCTCAAAGCCCTAAGGTTACCAGCACCACTCCCAATCCTTAAATGGCAGCTTAGAGAACTCATGGGAACCCCAAATCACAAAGCACATTTGCTAACAAATGGCAGTGAGGCCACAACCCAGTTCTTACTTTTAATGTTTTCTTTTTACACACAGCAGTCAAATTCTTACTGACTGCTAGCTTTCACTTACCTACCTAGCAACGTCCCACGTTAAAGCTCTGTTTTTTTCCCCTCTGTGCCACGTTAGCATGAGCACTTCACCAGGCCACCCAAATGTGCCAGAGACAGCCAGCTGTGAAAGGCGCTGACAGGTCCTCTGCAGGTGGCAGAAGCGGCTGGCGAGCGCCGGTGGGCGGAGCCCCGAGGCAGGACACAGCCCCCGCCGCCAGTAGGCAAGTCGCCCCGCACCAGAGCACAGCGTTTCCCGCGCTGCAGTGCCCGTCCGCCCCCAGGACACGCACCTGCACAGGACCTCGGGCCCTCCCCGCTCCCCAGGCCTCTCCGGTCGCCCAGCCGCGGTTACCTTGTCGTTGTCCAGCCGCGTCTCCAGGATCTTGTGCAGCTTGCGCGACAGCGGGTTGTTAGGCTGTGCGGAGGTCGTGCCTGCCCCGTTGCTGAAACCATTGGCCGCACCCGAGGTGGACACCGCCACCACCTCCCCGCCGGCCTCCGCCATAGCCTTCCCCGAGGCGGCGCTGCCGGACCGGAGCACACGCAGCGGGAGCACTGCGCATGTGCACACCCTCCCACGCATGCGTACAGACTACCGCGCATGCGCGCCCCAGCCAAAATCGCTCTACCTGCATTTCCGAGTCCTAGTTGTGGGCGGAAGTGGGGATGCATTCCAGAAAGAGGAAGAAATTAAGGGTCTAAAAGGGGCTTCAGGAGCTAGAGAGGTGGCTCTGCGGTTAAGAGTACTGGCTGCTCTTCTTGAGGACCCCGGTTCGATTCCCAGCACCCACAAGGCGGTTAACAATCCAACTGTAACTCCAGTTCCGGGAAATCCGATGCCTTCTTCTGGTCTCTGTAGTCATTGCGTACGTAGTGCACCTACTTAAATGCAGAAAAAACATACAATAAAAATAAGTGAAAACTGGAAAAGAACCTTAAGAATTCAAATCTGTGACTGGAGCATTGACTTAGTGGTTAAGAGTACTGGCTGCTTTTCCAGAGGACCCAGGTTCAGTTCCCAGCATCCACATGTTAGCTAACAACCCTCTGTAACTGCAGGGCTTCTGATGTCCTCCTCTTCTGACCTCCACGGGCTTTGCACAACATGAATGCAATTACACACATGCGGGCTTATATACACATAAAAATAAAATTAAATAAAAAAAAATCCAAATCTAAGAAATGCTGAACTAACGTATATGTAAAATACACTGAAACCAGTACCTGGTATACATGATCAGTGAAAACTAATCCTAATTAAATACCCTTTGTCTGAATTCATCTTTCTGAAAAAAGTATTTATTGGAGGCATAATAAGTACCAGGGACTCTGGTGGACACTGAACAGTCTTATCTTGTATGTTAAGACAGACACAGGAGTTAATGTTAGGTGAGACAGAAGGAAGTGAAGAAGAGTGAGGAGAAATGGAGCGAGAGGCCCACATTACTCAGGGCGGTTTGCAAGGCGCTGCCCTTCAAGATTTGAAGGAGATTAAAAAACCAGAGAAATCCGTGGCTATGAGAAAGCCTGCAAGGCCCAGAAGCAAGAAACTATATCCTCAACAAAGTGACCCAAGCCAGTGTAGCTGAAAGGAACCATGGCAGTTATCAATAATGACTATCTTAGAATGGTACAAACAGGCCGTCACCATCAGACCTATGTGTTCTGAGCTCACATTATTGCCCCAGCCTTATTTCTAGGCACTTGCTCCATGACAAAACAGCATAATTTGCTGGACACAGAAATATCAGAAACTTTGAATCTTCCTATATTAATGCTTATAGTCCATTTATTTTAGTCTCTGTCAGCTGTTATAACAAAACACTATAGAGTTGGTAACTTACAGACAACAGAAATTTATTTCTTATAGTGCTGAAGGATGAGAAGTCTAAGATCACAGCCCCAAAGAGCTAGAATCTGCTGAGGGTCCCCTTTCCAGTTCATAAACAGATCTGTCTGTGCAGTTTGTAGATAAGAGCGGCTAGCTAGCTCTCTGGGATCTTTTTTATAAGAAGACTAATCCTAAGCATGGGAACTTTGCCCTTATGATCTAATCACATTCCAAGGTCCTGCCTCCATATGTTATTGGTGGTCAGGAAGTTAGTATACGAATTTTAGGGACACACAAACACTCAGACCATAGTACCATTCTTCCAAGGATGTTGGAGCTCACCAACTTTTTGTCCTTTGGATTCCACTCACGTAAGTCTCTGTACTGTCACAAAACTACCCACCTCTTCTTAAAGAGAATGGATTAATTCCTCATGCAAAGTCCACAGCAATCAAAATATAATTTATAAATTTCTCATGATTTTATGAAAACATTATGTTTGTTGTTCTACCACTAGACTTTCAGTATTTGGATGAGGAAGACTCTCATTCTAATCTGGTTTTGTACCCACCGCAGGAAATGTAAGTGAAATGTACTGTCTTTTCTATCAAAGGGTTGCATGAGACAGTTTCATCTTCAAAGATATTTGTAAAAATATAGCCTGATAAAACTCCCTTCCCCAGTCAGTATTTTTCTAAGAGTCAAGTTTGTGTTCAAGGTTGCATGCTGCTCTTAAAACTGCATCCTTCCTCCTTCCTCTTATACTGTATGGATAACTTTAATTCCTCTGGATAGATGTGTCACACAGCAACCCAAGTTCCTTTTGGTTTATTCACCCAACGATAGGTGGAGTTCTCATCCTCTAGTTCAATGTGACCCCTACTGCCACTCTATCCTAAGGTCCTAACATCTTTAAACGCAAGACCTTGGCTCTGTCAATTACAAGCAACTGTTTTTATAGCTTTAGGAGGTCGTGGCAGAGGTTTAAGCTCCAAGAATGGTGAGAGGGTTCATTCTACACACACACACACACATACACACACACACACACACACACACACACACAGTGGGAGGGGGAGTAGAAGAGAGATTCTACCTTATATAGTCTATAAAAGAAAATGAAAACTGAATTCTAGCTAGGAAGAGCATGGACCCTAAACCTATGAGGTGCCATCTCCTGGCTTTTGTTGTAATGGATCATCGATAGCTTCTACATTATAGGGTAGTCACTTCTTGTAGTAGAATGCAGGTATTACATTATTTCTTTCATTGTAAAGCAATTTCTTCCCTAAGGGAAGAAGTCTAATTGTTCTGTGCTGCCCATGTCTTGGGATATGTGAATACTCAGAGACTGCTTTGACTGCCTCCAGTAAGGTGGACTTTCAGCAGTGGTGGCTGACAGGTGGAAGGAAGGACCTGTTATTGCATTTACAGGCTTGGCACTATTTTACTTTGTTCATGGACCCAGATGAGTAAAGTCGGGTGGCTAGGAAGAGGGATGACTGGCATATACAGGGTTGGTGATTTTGTTCATCTGGTTTAAAACATGCAATGTAGTAGGGCCTTTGATAAACATTCATAGGACTCAAAAAAAATGTATCCTGATCATACACATATTTCTTCTCCAAGCCTTCCTGATATCAATACTTCAACTTTCTTCCAAACAAGTCCTTGGCCAGTTAGCCAACCTGTTATCCACTGTCTGTGAACATGTCCATGAATAGTCCTGTTCAGGAAAATTGAGTAAGATTTTACATTCCATTCTTCATAGACACCCATGAAAGAGGCTAACATCTCCAGCAAACCACTGTCAGCTACTGCCATGATTGTGAGTTTTGATATTATAAACTAAGTTCAGATACTCTCCTTTCTATGTACTTGATCATAGGAAACCTTCTCTTAGGCTAGTGTGTGAGTTAGAATAGAGGTGATAGTGGAATCAAAAAGAACCTTAATGAACTGTTCCTCTACCTTGTGTGTCACCGAACATTTTTATATGTTGGATTGTGTTCAGATAGTTCTGGCATGCTACCCACCATGCACCTTTCTCTGGCAATTAAGTGTTGTGACTTGCTGTATTAGTTACTTTTCTGTTGCTGTGATAAAACACCATGACTAAAGCAATTTATAAAAGGAAGAGTTTATTTGGTTTACAGTTCCAGAGGGAGAGTCCCAGGCAGGGGAGGCACAGTTTATCAAAAAGCCAAACAATCACATTTTCAAGGAGGCACAGGAAACAGAAAGTGACTGGAAATCAGGCAAGGTTTAAGATCTCTCAAAGCCGCTCCCAGCTCCTAGTGTCATGCTTCCTACAGGAAGGCTGCACCTCCTAAAACCTCCCAAAACAGCGCTACCAGCTGGAGACAAAATGTCCAAATCCTTGGAGCCCATGGACGGTATTCTCATTCAAACCACCACACTTCCTTCTACTCACAGTGTTTTTACGACCTTGTTTGAATCAAGGGAGACCTTTTCAACTGCAGTGTCTCCCACTGGAACTCCCAACAAACATAAGGAAACCACCCACATGGTTTTCATGGGTCCTCCTCGTACTAATGTAGGCTTTGAGAGGAAAGTGTCTGGACTGTCCTCAAAAGACAAAATTAGGGAGATATTAGGAATAGAGAAAAATAAAAATCTTTGTTTCTATTTCTTCAAGTTCGTAGAGTTTTTATATTACGTTAGACCAGGGATTTGCTGATACCTCAACTTAAATTTATCATCAGCCACCATGGAGTGTAGCCTTAAATCAATGAACTAGAAAAGCTGAGCCCCTGTAGCTACCTGGGCCAGTCCATTGATTATAGAAACAAGAATTTTTAGCAAGTATGCCCACATCAGTAAACTCAATCCAAATTAAAATTATTTGTACTTTTCCTATACACATTAGCTATTATGCTTCTAATTGCAGTAAATGCCGAATAATACTCAACTATGACTAGTGTAAGACTAAAAACCATCCAGAGAGGGATGGGACATGAGAAGATTTGACACCACTTAATGAAATTGAACCCTAAGGAGGGGTCATTACAAACCCTTTGGGTAACCTCACTGAATATAAGTGGGTGTGCTGCTTTGGCTGTCGAGGGAGGCTAAGTGGAGGACTGAGGTTTTGAATCTTCTACATTTCAAATATAAGGATCTATTTCTCAACCAATGTTAAATTTTCACATAAAGTCACTTGGTAAAGCTGTGAATTGATTGGCATTGGGCAATCCACATGACAAATCTTATGAATTCTCTTTTTTCCTCTCTCTCCTATTCTGTAGGGATGCATGCAAAAATTCTTTTGGCATAGGACTGTTGTATGACATTATTCTTGGGGAGACAGGAACAAAAATCTGCTCACTCCAGATAGAGAACCAACAATAGACCAAAGTAACAAGTCCACCAAAGTCCCAGTTGGTGAAACCATGAGTGTATGGGGCTGCTTGCAGGAGTCTGAATGAAGACTTCCCAAGCAGCTCAGCTGGTCTGAATTTCTTCTAGGCAGTTTGGCTCATGTGTGTCTCCTCAGCAGTCTCTACTGCTTATATAAGCTTGGGAGGAAACAAGCCTTGTATATCTGGTCAGTTTCAGGGACTTCTGAACATGCGGTTTCCTTCTTGAATCTCAAAGAGCCTTCCTTTAGAACTTCCTGAGTCTTAACAAACTTCAGAGGAAATTTCTACACAATAATGACATAAGTGTCATTGGGTTTTCATTTGTATATCTAGCCAGTGTTTTGTGAAT